GGTTCCCCACGTGCCAGCCGCCCTTGACTGTCCTTTCCTGAGCGTGCACCGCAGGTCACTTCTCCACCTGTGCACGCAGCCACTTGTGTCCGGGCACCCAACCCTCCTGCACCTCCCCTCTCCTGGACCCTGGCCCTGGAGGGCTGCACGGCAGGGTCGTTCACAGCTTGTCTGGCACATGGCAGGGATGGGTGTCTAGCAGTGACAGTATCCTTCTGGCCTCCTTTATGCTGAGAGAGGCCTGGGTCCATCTGCTGCCTCGCTGGACTCGGAGTTGTGTTTGCAACCTTCGGGCCTCGCCGTCATCCCTGCCACTGTGCTATGGCTGCTGCGGGTTTCGACCAGGAGGCTGGGCCCTGGGGAAGGCGGCCCAGAGGAGGGGAGGAGCTGGCAGTGCCCACGCATTGTGGACCCAAGGCCCCCATCCAAGCCCTGAGAACCTTTAAGATGTCCCTGACGCTGTCCAGCCCTTGAGAGTCCAATGTGATCGGTTCAGGAAGAAAACAGAAGGGCCAGGGAGCATATGCAGCGGGTCCCTGGGGTGAGAAGTGGCACGTGACTGCCATGCAGGTGGGCGCCCTGCCAGCGTGGCCAGCTCCTGTCCAGAAGTGGACAGGCGCACTGACATCCTTGCTGGTCACGAGTGACACTGTCACCTGCCCCATCAGCGGCGTGAAGACACTGACACCAAGTGTGGGAAGGGATTCTTGTCTCCCATGTCCCCTGGTTAGTGGTGGTCTCATGATTTTTGTTTGACTCGTTGGGTTTCCTGAGCAGAGACGGAGGAGGATGCACTGTGGTGACTCAGGGGACTGACCACCCATCCCCTCATGTGACAGCATTCCAGATGAGCTGGGCTGGGGCAGAGCTTCCCCGAGTTTGCTCCCGAGTTCACCATAGCAGTGAAGCCTTATTGCTTGTTGTGGAATTAAACTTGAGTGTCCCTGAGGGCCTTTGGGTCCCCAAAGCCAGAGAAGGACAGGCTGGTGTGTGGGAGTCACCAGCTTGGAGCAGAGCAGTGCTCAGCACCCAAGGGACAGACAACAGCAGGGCGATGGGAGTGCTCCTCGGGAAGGGCTGAGTGGCCGCTGCGATGCCTCGCTGGTGCACCTGACGTGTGTCTCCTCCCCAGGTCCCTGCTGATCGCTAGTAGGGCTGTGTAGGCCGAGAGGCAGGCCCTGGCCTGGCCCTCCGTTCTGGCCCTGTTGGCTTGAGAGGTGTCGGGGTCGGGTGGCAGAGGGGCTGTGGAGCCTGCAGGCTGCTTTGATGGGGCCCTGCCACCCTCACAGTGCACAGCTGGTGACATGCAGGGGCAAAGGGCTTAGAGAAAAAGTCAGCATCTTCCAGAGTCCCAGATGGCACAGAAAGTGGCGAAGGCAGGGTCTGGCAGGAATCAGCCTGTGGGTCCCCAGACTTGGTTACCTGCAGTGGCGGGAAAGTCACTCTCTCTCTGAGCTCAGTGCCAGCTCACATGCCTCTGCGCCCCGCCTAGGAGCAATTCCTGTGGCCTCTCCTGGGGGCCACGCCCAGGCACCTGCCACTCACTGGGAGCCACTGAGCAGGTGACTCCCCAGGACAGCGCTGCCCTCTTCCCTTCCCACCTTGCTGCCCTGCTCCTTGGCTGGGCCTGGACTCCCTGGGGCCACCTCGGAGGCCCCGGGTCCTCATTCCTGCCTCGGGTCAGCTGCAGGGGCATCCAGGCCCAGAGGGCTGGCGGGAGTGGCCACAGGGGCCTGTGCCTAGTCCCTAGTTCCTGTCATCGATGTGTCAAAGCCTGGAGAGGAAGCTGGGGGTGACATCACCTCACCAGGCAGGAAACCTGGCCAGGAAGGGCAGCGTGGTCCAGCTCCCACAGGGTCTCACCACTTCTGCAAAGGCAGATTAACCTGGTGGTCACCAGCAGGACCTCATGCAGGGGGTCTTTGGATGGGGCCGAAATAGTGCCCGTGGGGAGGGACCTGGCAGACTTGCAGGGACCTGGGAACCCCACCCCAGGCGTGGTGAAGCTCTCGGAAGTGGGACACACAGAAGCTGGATGGGGCTCCTGGGAGAGTTGTCCCGATAGGCCCTGGGGTGTGTCAAGGGGACACCTTGGCCTTCCGTGGTCACCTGTGCCAGCAGCTGGGCCGGGTGGTGACGCTTCCTCCCTCGTGGCTGCAGCTCTCATTACCGCCAGTCCTGGGATTAATTTAATTACACACTCATCGCCTGGCAGCTGGGCGTTGCCCGGTGAGGTCACAGGTTTTGAGGCTGCGGGGAGGATGGACCTCAGGGAGCCAGGCTCCTTTTGGGCCCGCAGCCCCCCGGGAGGGTCCCCTCAATGTCATTGTCCCTCACTGTTCCTGACCGGCCAGTTCTGGCATTGTGAAGAGCCGGGCTTGGGTAGGGACTGGGTCAGATGTGAAAGCCGTAAAAGTTCAGTGACCACAGCGCAGGGCAGGCGGGAAAGCGGCAGGCGCTGCCGTCGAGTTCATTGTCACGTTTACAAAAGGAAGCACTGGGTTCCTTGAAAACCACAAGAAAGGAGAGGAAGGAAAACACATCTCTCGTTCCCTCATATTTCCACATACATTTTTTTCCCTAAATTTATTTCACTGCCTAGATATTTTTAAATGTAGCAGCCGTTAGGCAAATCATTCTGGGTCCGGTCCTCCCCGCTGGCATTTGGAGTGTTTCTCAGTATTGTGCGGGACAGAAACTGGTCCTCAGCATCATTTTCATAATGACAGGGTGGAACGCGCAGTGATTGTGGGACAAATCGTTGCTGCCAGTTTTGGCCATCGTGACTCTGCCTGCAATCCTCATAATTAAAATTAATTTTTCGGGGTAGATTCCATTAGAATGACTGTGTGGTTAGAGATGCTTTTGAGCCTGTTATTATTATCATTTTTTGAAATAAAACCTCAGCAAACCCTGTGGCTGACGTATATCCTGTTCCCTGCAGTGGCGGGGCAGGGGCAGGTTGACCTGAGCGGATGGTTTCTTGGGGACGGTGCCTGGGTTTGGACTTTGGTTGTGACCTCTGGTCGGTGCACACAAGGGGCTGCTTGGGGGTGCTGGGTGGCCTGTGAATAGCACACTTGTCCCTTTTCTTGGAGACACCACCCCACCCCTTGCCCCATGTGGTCCAGTGGATGTTGGGGTGTCTGTGTTTAACTCGGGGGTCTTTGGAATGTGCATGACCTGCTGCTGCCCAGAGGCCCCTGTGGACAGGATGCAGGACATATGGGTCTGGGGATCCCAGGCTGCACCCCATTTCCTGTCCCAGGCTCAGAGGGGCTCAGTGTGTCCTGAACACTCAGCCTTTCCCCGCTAGGTCTGTCTGTGTGTGAGGCCAGTGTGGCAGCCTTGTTGCATGGACAGATGGTGTGTAAACTGAGGGTGTGTACAGCTGTAGCCACTGGGGCTGGGCAGGTCCAGCATGGACAGGCCACGGGTCAGCTTATTGCCACCCTTCCTGGAAATGGGCCAGGGTCAGTCACCTCACCTGTGGGGGCCTTGCTTCTGTAGCTTGGTAGGGAGCTGGGAGTGGGGCGTGGGGGCCCACCTGAGCTGCTGGGTGCCAGAGGCAGATGTCACCCTGAGTGGGCTGGGCCAGCCTTGCTCCTGGGAGCTGCCCTCATTGGTCTCTGAACCCCACATTCCTGAGCGATGACCAGGGAGGCGGCCGAAGGAAGGTCTGACTTGCAGCTCCTCGCCCTATACCCGGCTGCCCTGCAGGGCTGGATGGACGCACTGCTGGGCCCTGTGGCCTGGGCTGAGTGGAGGGGGCTCTTGAGGGTTCCCATGTACACTTGGGGGAGAGGTGGCCCATAGTAGTGGGCCAAGGGCCCAGGAAATGGGCACCCGCGTGGGTAGGGGTCCTGGGAAGTCGCAGCCAGGCCCCAGTGTGGGAAGCACCCACACATCCTGGTGACCTCTGTCCTTGCCAGCCCCCATATCTGTGCCGTGTTGGAGGCTGAGGCTGAGAGACGGCCGGGGGCGCTGGTGGGCAGGGCTGTGGGTGGGTCCTCCACCGTTCCCACATGGTGACCCTGGCTCATCCTCAGCTGTACCGGAGCCCGCTAGCAGCCCAGAACAGTGAAGCGTAAGGGGCCTGTTCCCCAGCTTCAGTTCCCTGCGGTGACCACTGCTGCCTCTGAGATCAGGGGGTGGTGACACAAACCCAGGAAGACCCTGCTTCCTGTGGGGGCTCAGTATAGAAGATGGGGGCACAGCCGTGGTTGTGGACAGGTCCCAGCTGGTACCTGGGCCCTGCGACTTATGACAAGAGATGTGGTTGTCTGTCCTTCACTGCTGACCCTGTGGTCACCCGATGCGGTACCTGGATGTGCCGTCCGGGGCTCAGAGGTGCTTGGGACGGGGCACTTGTCCACCTTGGCCCACTGTCCCTTCCCTGCCTGAGTTCTGCCCCCACCCTGTCCCCAGCAGGTCCCAACCAGCCCAGTGGGGAAAGGGGACCAGGGCTGCGGTGTGGCGTAGGGTGGGGCTGGGGGCAGGGTCAGATTTCTCCCAAGTTTCTGATGCAGTTATGAGTGAGGTCTGTGAGGTGTCCCTGTCCCTGTTCTGAGGTATCCATCTGGCCAGAAGCTGGGGCCATGCTGTGGGAAGCCCCGCAGGTGTCTCAAGGGGCGTGGGCCTGCCGCCTGGCTCCTGGTGGCTTGCAGCCTCAGAGCTCTGGGTGGAATCAGCTCCTCCGAAACAGGGCAGGTGGAAGCCAGCACTTGAGGTGCTACCTGGGCAGCTCAGGCCTCAGTTTCTCTATGGCTTAGCAGAGGGGCTGGAGGACTCCGGCCCAGGGTTGGGCTGGCCCTGGCCATGGGTGTGGAGCAAACTCAGTGGCTTGCAACATCTCGAGTGGGAGGCATCACCCCAGGACGGGCAGGTGAGGGACCCCCCAGAGACTATGGTGGCAGTGAGGGTATCAGCAGGGCCTGGGTTCTGCCTGCAGATGCATCTGCGGGTGGCTGACATGTCCCCTGCTTCCTCTGTCCCTGCAGATCCCTCGTGCACCTACGCCAGGCAGCTGGAGACCAAGGTGAAGCTGCTGGAGGGTGACAAGCTCCTCCCACAGGTAGGCGGCCTGCAGGGCGGGGTGGGGGTGTCTGGGGTCCCTTGCCTATGCCCCTGACCTCCTGTCTGTCCCTGCCCCCCCGCGCCTGAGTGCCTCCTGGGAAGCAGGGTCACAGCCTAATCCCTGCTGTAATCCGGGCTCCTCCGGCGGCCTGCAGATCTGTGGGGCTGGCACTGGGCCCAGGCTGGAGCTCGGACATGGAGCTGGTGATGAGACAGACAGTGTTGCTCTGGTGTGGGCAGATCCACCAGGGCCGCCTCCCTTGCCTGCCCGGCTTGCCGACCGATTCCAGTTGGAATCCCTCCTCCTGCCCAGGCCTGGGCTGTGAGGCATGGGGTCCTTGAGGGTCAGGGCAGGCTCTCCACTGCCAGGGCACAGGTGTTTTGCAGAGTGTCACTGGAACTTTGAGGGGACAAGGAACCTACCTTGGTGCAGGTGGGGGCTGGAGTGGGGGATATATTCGGCCCCAGTTGGGGTGCCTGGCCCAGCTGGCTTGGCTGATATGCTCCCAGCCTCTGGGCCTCTTGTCCCTACCTTTGACTTCATCTCAGCCCCTCTCCCTTGCTGGCCCACAGGCGGCTGCCCCAGATGCCCAAAGCGTTTCTCTGGGAACCAACCTCAGGGATAGCTGGGATGCCTGGCCCTGTTGCCGGGTGACCAGCTGGGCTTGGTGCCCACTGGCTGGCTCAGGAAGCTAGCAGCACCCTCTGGGGCTGCTGGTGGCTGCGGCCTGGGGCTGTGGACAGAGCAGCATCGACAGTTTGCACAGTTCCCACGGCCGACAGGACTTTCATCCCTGGCTTGCTCACCCTTGGGCGCCCTGCAGTGCTCCAAGTCCCGGGGCTGGTTTTAGTTCAGTGTTGGTTGCAGGTGCTGGAAGGTGTGGGGCTCCAGGGCCTTGCCTGCTGCAGGGTGCCCCAGACCCTCACGCCCCGTGTGGCATGATCTGTGCATGGTTGTTGGGGGAGGGGGAAGGGCTCGGGGGGCAGGCAGAAGCACAACCAGGACTCTGAGGGGCAGAAGGGCAGCGTCTGGGCTGGGGACCTCTGCTTAGGAGCAGGTCTCCATGCAGCAGTTGGGCCCGCAGGATGGGCCTGTGCTGAAGGAAGGCTGGGACCCCGTCTGACTCTTGCCCATTTCTGAGCCCTGGATTCAGGCCGTTCCTGTGTCTCCTATGAGAAGCAGCACTGTGGTCCATTTGGGGACCTGCTGGTGGCTCTGTTTCCACAGGCATGGGAGTGTCCTGACCCCTTTGTGCCTGCTTTCCTGGGCCCCTGGCCCCCCTGACCCTCCATCTCAGCTGTGTCAGACCTGGGGACCAGCAGCCCCTCTGCCTTGGTTCCTGGGGTGCCCCCCACCTCCCAGGAGCCTCCTGCCTTTTGCATCCATGTGCAGAGTGGGCGGTGGATGGGGCCTGAGCCTTGCGGCCTGCACAGCACCGGCTGTTTCGGGGACCTGCCCCTCTCCAGGCAACAGGGGTGGGTTCGGCCCCCTGATATCTGGAAGACCAGCTCTTGGCTGGACCTGAGCTCTCTGGCTGCAGGTGGTCAGTGGGATTCAAGGACAAGAGCCAGCTTCCCCCAGCTTGTAGTTAGGATTGGGGCCAGGGCTGGGGGAGGGCAGCTCGGGTTGTCCTGGTCAGAGGTGCGGATGCCCAACAGGAGGTGAAGTCTGGCCGTGTGCTGTGTGTGGAGGGCACCCAGGCCTATCCGTCTCTCCCTGCACCTGGACACTGCCTGAAGCAGGGTCTTCCCGGCCAGGATCCCCCACCCAGCAAACATCTGGGCCACTTTCAGTGCCCTGAACCAGGGCCTCAGCCTTCCTGCTCCAACCCACACTGCTGTGGAGAGCAGCCCTGACCCGATGTCAACAAGGGCGCAGGGAAGCTGTGGCATCCACAGAGCCGGCGAGCATCCTGGGTCACGTTTGACATCGAGGGTGTGAGGGAGCCGTTGGTGGGGGAGAAAGACGGAGAGACAGGGTGAAGATTTGGTCTCGCCCAGTTTTGGATTCAGCTTTATGAGGACCCCACAATCACTTCTCAAGACCTCTGCTTCCTGATCTGTAAAATGGGCACTTGGTTACTTTGTGAAGTTGACCATTGTGCAATACATTTGCTGTGTGTGTACAGGGTACAGGGATGACCAGGAGGGGCCTGCCTATAGGGATGCCAAAAAGATGGGGCCACACAGCCTCCTCCCTGTGCCCCGGGTTCAGCCAGGCCCGCAGCCCCCAGCGTCCCTGACCACCCTGTCCTTGCTGGGCATAGGGAAGTGGGAGGTCCGCCGGGCGGCGAGCGTGCCATCCTTGGAGGTGTCATCGCATGGTTGGATGACCATGTTTGGGAATCTTGGAGGACAAGCTCTGGCCTCAGCCTTTTGGCATGTAAGATTTTATGATTCTGGCATTTAAATTTCGTCAGCGAGCTCAAATTGTGAAAACCCGGCTCCCTGCCACACAGGGAATCGGCTTGTGAGTGAGAGCCAGACCCCTGCGCCACCCCTCAGGGGGCGGGGCCCCGGGCTCCGGGTGGGCGTGGCCAGGGGCCCGCCCCGCCCCCGCGGCTGCTGCTTTAACTCACAAATAACTTTAATTAAAAACGTGCCTGGTTGTTCACAGGCTGAATTACCGTGCTGCAGTTAGTATTTTCTTTCTCGCATCGGCTTTAAAATTTCACCAACACAGCTGCTCTCTCAGCGATGATTCATCTCAGGCTCTGCACGTTACTGTTTTTCCTGCAGGTTCTCTGTGCCTGGGGTGGGGGTGGCTGTGACCGACTTTGGGGGCTCGGGTTGACCCCGCGCTGGGCCGATCCACGGGTTCTCCCTTGTGTGTGAAGAAGTTGGCTCCTCCATGAATGAGGACGGGGCCTTGGGCAGGCTGGTGACTGGAAAAGACCAGCACCATCACCGGCTCTGTCCTGCCAGGTGCTGCAGGACCAGTGGGGAAACTGAGTCACAGAGGCAGGGATCCTGCCCGTTAGTTTGCTCTGGCTGCTGCTACCGAGTTTCCCTAACTGGGAGGTGCAGATGACCACGGCTTCCTGTCCTGTGGGGTCAGAATCTGAAATCCAAGGTCGAGGACTGGTGTCCCCTGAGGCCTCTGCCCTTGGCTGGCCTTTGGACCTTCCTCTTGGTTTCTCTTTTGCCTGAGGATGTAGTCCCATGGCACGAGGGCCCCCGATACTGACCTCCCTTTCCTTTGGTCGCCTCTTTAAGGACTTGATCTCCAAACAGGTTACCTGCGGAGCTCCTAGGGCCTGAGATTTCATCACACAGATTGTGGCAGGGTCTGGCTGAGCCCCCAGCCTGGGCAGTGTGGGCCTGACTGGAGGACCCTGTTCCAAACAAGCCAGGGGTCCTGGGCGGAGCTGGTCCACCCTGCTCTCTCCTGGTCTTGGGCCTTGGGCTTTGCAGGGGCCCGGTGAGCTTGCTCTGAGCCTGGCACCACCCTGGTGAGCCTCACTCTTTGGGTGGGGAAGCGGGGGTCAGTGCTGGCCCCCCAGTCATGTTTCTTGTGTCCCTGAGAAGGGTGGGGCTGTCCTGGCACCTCCCAAGGTGCTGGCTGAGCAGGACTCTGTGGCTTCGGGTTGGTCCCCCTGCCTGCTCAGCATCTGAGTGTGCCCTGTTCTGCCCGTGGGCCACCCCACCGCACCTCCGTGCCTTCCTGGGCAGCAGAATCTGTGGGTTTCTACAGCTCTGCCTGTTTTCTTCTCAGGACCCCAGAATCTGTCCCGCCTTGTTGGGAACCTCCTCTCCCCAGCCTCCAAGCAGATGGGCCATCTAGCACGTGGGCAGGATGAGACTGGCAGTGCCACTCCTGTGCCCCAGCCCTGGAGGCTGAAGAAGCCTCTGCAGGGAGCCAGGTGCCAGGCAGGACTCAGTGATGCCACCCGTCGGCTGTGTGGCATTGGGCAGCTGTCCTAACCTCTCTGGGCCTCTGCTTCTCCATCTGTAATACAGGGCCACCAGCCACTCCGAGGGCTCCAGGGTGACTGGGAAAGCACAAGGACCAGGGACTAGGTGGCCTTGGGGCCTGTGTGTGCCATCTGCAAGCCCCTTCCTGACCTGCCCATATGCGTGTGCACTGCTCCCGGTGGCTGGGAGTTGCCTGGTGGGATCCAGCTATGGGGGCTTTGCATGTCTGCTCCATGCCCAGCGCCCCCCCTGACCTGGCACTTACTTCCTGCACCAGTGACATCCCTGCAGGGGTACTGTAGTGGCTGGGACCTGGCTCCTGTTTGCTCTGTCACAGGGTCTTGGGTGGCCCGCATATCATGTCTGAAAATGGGATTTGGGGTGCAAGGTCATGTGGGTGGGGACTCTGTGCCAGCTGTGCAGGGGTGATAGGAGCTGTCCTGCACCACACGTTGGGTCTCTGACTGCTCCAGTGTCAGCCATGAAGTCCCTTGGCTCCTCGAGGTTCACTCCAGAAGTCTCTGGAGATTTGAGACAAATCGCAAACCCAGCTGGAGGTGGCTCTTGAGAGGGACCCTGCAGGTCACCGACACCCCAAGGGCAGAGCAGAGGCCAGCGTGAGATCTGCGAGTGGCTCTCATCTGGTACCTACCTGAAGGCCCCTAAGGAGGACTGCATTTCCCCGAGGCTGCTGGGGCCCTGAGCTTTGGGATGGGCACCCCACGAACCCGGTAGGTCACAGGTACCTACTCCTCTTTGTTGGATTTGGTGTTTCCAGAGAGGCAGAGCTGCCCTGAGGGGTCTCGGGGACCCCCTGGTCTGGCCCTCGGGCCCCTGCGGACTGACAGGTGTATGGGGAAGGCAGGGCAGAGGTGACAGGCGAGGTTGGGGTTACCGGGTGACACTGTTCTCTTTCCTTCCAGCTGCCGCGCCCCTACGGCCACCCGAGAAGCTGGCTGCAGGTAGAGCCGCGGTGGGAGAGGGGCTTGCAGTGGTGCTGAGTGTCTGTGCCGCTCTGCGTGCGGTGTGCTGTGTCTGCTGTGTCCTTGTCCCCGGCACCTTGCTCTGGGATGCCCTTAGGACCTGCCCCCGCTGGGCACAGCCTGGCACCCGGCCTCCTGTGGGCTTCCCAGCCTGGTGGAGGGGGTGGTGGGCCGAGGCATGCCGCATCTAGCGGTTCTGAGCTCAGTTGCCAGGCTTCGGTGCAGGCATGCATGGGCTGCACCCTGAGGGCCTGCATCAGTGACCCTGGACACCACGGGCTGCTCCCATATGATACCTGGGGGGCGGGGCCGGCTCAGCCTGCACTGTGCTCAGCTTTGAGGTCCAGTGCAATGTGAGATGGGCCCTTTGGGACTCCTGCCTGCCCACTGCTCTCCAGTGGCTTCTTCTCTGTTCCCTTCTCCCAGTCCTGAGCTTGCACATCGGGGATAGCTGCCCGGAGAGGGTGTGGCTGTGGCTTTGGACCCTGGCCACGCCTGGCCTCCGAGCTGAGTCTCCCGTGCGGTGCAACACAGTACTAATGGCTTGGGCATCCCACACCCCACAGGAAGCCCCTGCTACCCTACACCACCATGACCTGTGACTGAGGGGCACGTCCAGGCTCTGTGTTGGCCTTGCTGAGTGAGCCACCCTCTGTGGCCAGGCTGCCTGGGGGCACACTGGGCCATCCCCAGGGCCTGTCTTCTGCTGCCATGCATCATCCCGCCCGGTACACAGAGAGGCCCAGGGTGCTGGAGCAGCAAGAGCGGTGAGCCCCTCGAGGGGTCCCCACCCCAGCTGCCAGCCTCAACCCCCTCCCAGGGAGCCCAGGTGACTGGGCTGGGCAGATCGGCAGTGTCCTTTGCCTCTTCTGCTTAGCACCCCATTTCGGTGCTCATGGGGTTTACCGCAGGGGTGCCCCTGCAAGCCTCGACGTCCCTCGAGTAGCCAGAGGCCCCACAGGCAGTCCAAACCAGGCCAATGGAGTCCTGGGCTATCCTTAACTCTGCGGCCTCTGTGGTGGCCCCGCAGCCCTGAGTCCCTTCCCTCTTGGTCCAGCCCTTGTGCTACCCCTCACTGGCCCTAGAAGTCAGCTACAGGGCCTGGATAAGCACGTACACCTGATCAGGGTGGAGGTCGATGCCGTCCCTGCCGCCCCTTGGCGAGGCTGCCCCAGGGACGCACTCGGAGCAGCAGGGCTGTGATTCGGATGGGGCATCATTACAGGCACCGCCGCTGAGTGACAGGCGGTGGGTCCCTCCCTCCAGAGGCAGGGTGCACTGATCACACTCTGTGGACCTGAAAGTATGCAGATCCTCGGGATGCTGCCCAAGGCCAGGCTGGGAATTGTGCACTGCTAATTAGAAAAACACCCCACTCTGTGGCACACAGCTCCCTCCAGGAAATGGGGTGAGGGCCACAACCGGCTGGAGGCTGCCCAGGGGTCCCCTTAGACTCTCCCTTTCTGCTTTCTTTCTCTGAGACAGGGCTCTGCTATGTAGCTTGGGCTGGCCTTGAACTCATGGAGATCTGCCTCAGCCTCCCAATTCTGGGATTATTGGTGTTTGCTACTACATTCAGCTTGGACACTTGCTTTATGACTGTCCCACAGCCCCCCTTTGTTTTACCTTTGAGCAGAGTTGGGTGGGGACACCTGGAAGTCCCCGGTGGCTGTGATGCTGGCTGGGCCGAGTGGGTGCTGGCTCAGACGGGGCAGATGCTGTGGTTCTTGGTACCTGGTGGGAGGGGCCCGCTTGCTGTGAATCAAGGATGATTTTCTGGACTTCGCTGTGTTGTTGCCAAGCTGGTCTTGAACCCGTGGGCCCAAGTGCGCCTCCTGCCTCAGCCTCCTGAGTAGCTGGGACTGCAGGCGCAGGCCATCATGCCCAGTGCAGTTCTCAGGCCCTTGTGGACCCAGGCAGGGTCCTGCCAAGCAGGGCCACAGGCAGGAAGGGCAAGGCAGTCCCGTTTGATGGCCGAGGCTGCGGGGACCCCCTGTGCTGACGATGCTGGCTGGGCCCTCTGAGGGCCACTGCTCCCCAGCGCTCATCACTCTGTGACCTTGGGTCATTTGAGTCCCTGTGGACTCAACGGTGGCAGCTAGCCATCGTTTCTCAGTCCCTTTGAAGTGGAGAAGTGTGGCCCCAAGTCTTTGGGACCTGGGGAAGGTGAGCGCTGGGCTCTGGGGGTGAAAGGGGAGCCCTGCCCATCCAAGAGCCCCAGCCCTGGCTCTGGGCAGTTTGCTCTCTGCCCTTTGGGGACCTACCTAAGGCCCCTCTGCTGGCCTGGCCTTCCTCCTGCCCTGTCCCTGTGCTGGCTCTTTGAATTCTAGGGCAACTGCTGGGGCAGGGGCTGAGGCGCCCCAGGGGTTGGCAAAGGGCGCCAGCCTTCGAAGGACCCCAGCGCAGGACCCAGTTGCAGAGGCCCCGGGGCTGGGCCAGGAGACGAGTTGCAGGCCACTCGTCTGGTTTGCAGGGCCTCAGTGGGTGCCTTGACTCTCCAGTGGTGAGCCTGGTCCAGGAGCCACTAGCGGTGGCAGAGAGGGCAGGTCCTTCAGCGCGAAAAGGAGCAGCTGGCACTGGTATCCCCAGTGGAGCCCCTCGCCCCGCCGCCTGACTCCTGTCTGCTTCCCTGGCAGGCAGGCGTGGGAGAGTTCCGGACGCTGCGGAAAGGCTTCTCGCCCTACCACTCGGAGTCACATCTGTCATCCCTGCCACCCTCCTACCAGGACTCACTGCAGAACGTAAGTGTCCGCCCCCAGCGGTGGAGACAGAGGCGGCTGGGACAGGGCCCACAGCTCTTGCCTTCAATCCCTGTTGGGTCCAGGTGGTGAAGATGGGGCCAGAAGTTGGGCTTAGGGCCACTGGACCTGTCCCCCAGGGCCAGCAAGGAGGCCACTGCAGTGTCTGGCATGCAGGGTAGTGTCCAGGCCCCAGGAACCCCTCCTTAGCATCAGTTCCTGGGCTGTGCCACAAGGACAGCCAGCTGGCCTGGAGCTGGGGCTGGGCCTGGTCCCCTGGCTTCATCACGGAGGCAAAGGAGCCCATGGGGAGGTTACTGCCCTGAGAAGGTCACTGAGGCTTTGGTCCCTGCCCTTTGAGAGAGGCAGTGGCCTTGGGAGTCTGAGGTCTGGGCAGTGGGCACTGAGCTGGGGCTGCTCCCTGAGGGCTGACATGGCTGTCCTCTGTGACAGCAGAGCCCAGGCCTCCTGGTCCACCTCATGCAGGAAGGAGCTACCCAGTGCATGCTGGACCTTTGGGGGCCCTGTACCCTGACATTGGCCTCTGTGGAGTGGCTCTTGCAGGGCTTCTCCAGGAAAGCACTGTCTATACAGTGCAGACAGCCAAGCCCACGACGACACATAATCCAAATATTTACCGGGCAGCCTGCAGCCCCACACACCTTTGACCATCTGGCCAAGGGCTCCAGGAACTGGGATGCCGCCGGTGCCGGCTCCTCGGTCCCCTCCGCCTGCTCATGGAGGTGGATGGGGAAGCCAGCAGTCTCCCACTCAAGGCCTCCAGCAACCTGCAAACTGTGACGTGATGGTGGGGCGGGTGTCCACGCAAAGCCAGCCTCTGTGGGGACCTCTGTGGGTGCAGGGACCCCCTGGGATGCTGGCCCCAGCACCGGGCAGCTCTTCCTAAGGCCACTGGGGTAGGGAAAGACAGGGCCAAGTGTGCGAAGGTCCCCCAGTGGTGACCGTAGGGGCGGGCACGCCCTTTCTCTACCCCTGGAACCCAGGGCAGAGGTGGTTTCTGCCAGCCAGCCGACAGGAGGGAAGCTGGTTGCCACAGTTTTTCCAGTTGACTTTATTCTGAGCATACAATTCAGTGGTTCTTAGTAAATCAAAGTTGTACCATCAAAATAGGACACTGTAATCTCTCCCCAGAGGAAGCGCTGCACCCTTAGTCACTCCCAGCTCCCTCCTCTCATTACTGGCTCTCACCTGTATGCTGTCTCTCAATTTGCCCATTCTGAACTTTTTAAAAGAAATTTTGAGACAGGATCTTGCTATGCAGTGCAGGCTGGCTTTGAGTGTGTGTCAGTCACCTGCCTCAGCCTCCTGGGTGCTCGGATTACAGGTGTGTCCCACCACACCTGGCCACATGCTGGACCTTTCACAGAGATGACTCAGACGGCCAGTGTGGCCTCTCGTGTCTGTCCCCAGGTCAGCATGCTTCAGCCCTCTTGTTTTGTGGCACTGGGGATTGCACTCATGGCCTTGCATTTGCCAAGCAGGTGCTTTGGGGCTGAGCTCCGTCCCCAGCCCCTGTGGAGCTGCATTCTGTCCTGCCCTGTCAACACAGCTGTTTCCCATTCTGCTGCTGCCGGGCCTGGGGCGTGCCGGGACATCCCAGGGAAACGGGCCTCGGGAACCCGCGTCTTCAGTTCTTGGTGCTGAGCTCACTCCTAGCACCAGTTCTGGTGTCCAGACCTCACCCCTTGCTTACAAGCTGCGTGTCCAGGACACTGGCCCTGGCACCTGGGCAGGTCCGAGTTTGGCCACTATGGGCCAAGTGTGCGAGGGTCCCACCGCCACCCCGGAGGTGGGCACCCCTCTCCCCGTGGAGAATTGTATATCTTGCTGCAGCGCCACTGCTGCCCAGCATCTTCCCACCATCACTCAACGAATCAGTCTTGAGCTGGCTGCCCATAGAGCAAGAAGCTTGGGGTTCCTGCAGGGTGGTGGTGCCCAGAGGGCGGGGCCAGGCTTTTGGGGAAGAGTCCTAGCATCAGGGCCTCCGAGCACGCTTGTCTCTGGCACCCCCTACTGGCCGGTCTGAGGAGTGCGCGCAGGCCTCCTGCTGCAGCGTGGCAGGAAGCCCACCTCCTCCCCATCCTTATTTCTTTTCCCACACTTCAGGCCCTGGGGTCCCTGCAGTCTGAGCTGGCAGCACTGGGATCATCCCGAGGGCTCTGTGTTTCTTGGGCCCCAGGACCCTGCCTGGTATCTGGTGAGGTAGGGCAGGGCCAAAGGAAATTGCCAACCTGGCTCTCCTGGACTGGCACCCTGGAGCTGCCAGTGTTCCCATGTCCCCTAAGCTGTGGGGGAGGCCCGAGGAGAGGTCCAGGCTCGGGAGGCCTTGGCCACCAGATCCAAGGTGGAAGGCTGCACAACCTACTCGGACGGGTGTGACCGCATTGCAGAACAGCGCGGGCTGGGCAGGACGCCGGGGACAGCCCCAGTCCCCTGCTTGCCGCCTGTTGGGTCTCTGAAGGTGTCTCAGGGATCCTGACAGGAAGCAGAGCTCATTTCCCAGCTGCCTCTGCCCAGCGGGGAGCCCTCCGGGTGACGTGTGACTCTCTGCAGGGTCCAGCCTGCCCCGTCCCTGAGCTGCCCTCTCCGCCCCCAAGCTACGGCTCAGCGGGACAGAAGCCTGAGGCTGTGGTGCACGCCATGAAGGTAAGGCTTTGCAGCCTCTGGAGCCCTGGGCGGTACCCCACCCCGGGCCATCTCTGGGCGATGGGCATTGGGGGAGTTGGGGTGGTACAGGTAGGGAAATTAAGGCCCAGGGCGAGCTAGGACAGGTGTGCCCTTAAGGCTGCAGATTTGGGGCAGGTGTGGGGACAGGACCTGATGTTCAGCTCTGCCGAGTCAGGATCAGCTGCAAGGTGCAGTGGGCAGGTCCCATGGGGCCCTACCTGTGCCCCATGGGGGCTGGCAGTGATGCCATGTCCCAGTGGACCATGTGGCTGTCTTCAGAGTCCTGTGTCACTCATGCAGTAGGTCTAGCAGGGTCCCCCTGCCCATCCTCTCTGGCTTTGCCCTGTGATCCCTTGTTCTGTGAGCTGGGGGTGCTGTCCCATGTGCCCACAGTGTCATGGAGTGGGGAGACAGCCTGCCACTCTACCCCACCCACAGGGCCTGGGAGGGTGGCTTGGGGACCTTGAGGCCTGCATTGCAGCAGGGAAGCAGAGCCAGGGTCAAGGACTCCTTGGCCTGAGCACCTCACCCTGGGACTTATCCCCCCAGGTCCTGGAGGTGCACGAGAACCTGGACCGACAGCTCCAGGACAGCTGTGAGGAGGACCTGAGTGAGAAGGAGAAGGCCATTGTCCGAGAGATGTGCAACGTGAGCCGGGGCAGGGGTGGTCAAGACCTTCCCTGTGCCATTCGTGTCCCATTGCTCAGCCAGGGGACTCCGCGGCCATGGTGGGCTAGGGGGGTATTGGAGGCTCTGGACCCTGTGCTTCCCAGGGACCCCAACCTTGCCAGATCTGTCCCTTCCCAGGGGTGCCACATTTGGGGCTCTGGACAGAGCTCCAGCTCCCCATGCCCAGCGCTCCAGCTCCCCATGCCCAGCATTGGTTTGCTCCTCTGAGGTCTGGTTCTTCGGTCCTTGGTCCCCGGGTGCCCCCTGGTGGCTGCTGGCCTTGACAGTAGTACTCGGAGTTAGAGGCGCAGGTCAGACCTTGTGCCCCACAGACCTGCAGGACCAGGCTCTTTTTGCTTCTGGGAGTTGCGCTGGCCCGGGGTGTGCCTAGCAGACCCCCCTAATCATCATCTGTCACCTCGTTGGAGCCAGCAGGGAAGGGGGTTATCAGGACTGGAATCAGGCCTATGTGGGTGCTGCCTCCTGGACAGTGACCTACTGCAGGCCACACGAGCGCAAAAGTGGGCACACCATGGGCCTCCGCCTCTCCAGGCCTCCTGCAGCCTCCGTTTCCCCTCCCATTGGCTCAAGGATGTAGGCAATTTTGCAGAGCAGGGCAGCAGGGTGCTGGGGTAAGCCCTCCTCTGACATCCCACCCCCCACAGGTGGTCTGGAGGAAGCTGGGAGACGCCGCCAGCTCCAAGCCCTCCATCCGGCAGCACCTGTCTGGGAACCAGTTCAAGGGGCCTTTGTAGGGCCGCACTGCACAGCCTGGGCCTGGCCCTGCCCGGACCCTGGCCACAACGCCACCCCTCCGTGGTGAATTGTACATAGGACCTGGCCTGCCCTGGCTGCTGCAGTGATACCGATGGCCAAGCCTCCGTCTCTGCCTCACACACCAGCAAACTGGGAGGACAAGCTGCTGCCTGCGCCCAGCAGCCTGGATGGCCTCGGGCCCTCTGCGCTAGGCTCTGTGGGCATGAGGGATGCTGGGCCACGTGTGCCCGGTGTCTGTCCCCAGTGGATGGCACCTCATCACGCCTTTCTCCCCTGGATACAGACTGTGTCTACCAGCACCTAAATCGGATACAGGTGGCTCCACCTTGGGACCCCGCTGTTGACTGGGGCCCTGTGGGGATGACGAGTCACTGCGTCCAGGCTGGTGGGAGCCTGCCCCTCCTCTGAGTACTGGGCGCTCAGGGTTGCTGCCGTCTGGGGTCAGCTCCAGCCTCCCCGAGGCCAGCTGCTGCTTGACTGTAGTGTCCACCCTGACATCCCCAACACACTCTGTTTGTCCTTCTGGCCAGGAAGAGCTGTGCTGTGACCAGGTCCGTGGCCAGCTGCACCCTGGGCTGCAGGACAGAGCTTCAGGGCTCCTCTGGTGAATTCTGCTCTCTGGGGAGGGAAGGGGCCCAAGCTAATTGTGGTGTTAGTTTGCTGTGTGTCCCTCAGCCTCTCTGGCCATGAGGTTCCTTTTGGCCCTGCTCATGGTCTGAAGCCACCTCCTTCCAGACGGCCTCTGTCCCCTTCTCCAGCTCACCCAGGTAGGTGGCTGCTGGAGGCCCGGGCTCAGCGGTCTTGTAGCTCACTCCTCTCCAAGCCCACTCTGTGTCCTCGGTCCTCCCTGCAGGGACCTAGGGTTTGGACATGCCCCTAGGTGCATGGTCCTTGTAAGCCAGTGGGGTGATGGGTGAGGGTGTTGCCGGGAGGCCCAGCCCTGGGAGAGGTCAAGCTGCCCAGGCCACCTGCGGCCTCCCAGTGGTGCTCAGAGCTTCCCGCAAGCGCTTGAAGAGCCCAAAGACTCGGTCCTCGTGTCAGGCCCCTGCCTGCTTCCCCAGCCAGGACCTTCAATCCAAGTCGACCCACGGCACCTGCGTCTGGCTCTTCTGCCGCGCACTCAGGGGAAAGGCCCTCAGGCTATGTGCGCAGAGTGCCGGGGGGCTGTGAGGGGTCCCTGTCTGCACCATCTGCTGGCCATGGCACTGGTCCTGTGAGCAGTGCCCACAGGGCCGAGGGTCCAGCCTGGGAGCCTGCAGGAGTCAGGTTGGATCAGGGTGGCTTGGCCAGCCCTGCAATAAGCAATAAGGAAGGTTCCTGGGTGGCCACCCCTGGCCCCTCCCCACCCCAACCGCCGAGGTGGCTCCTGCTGTGCCCCGAGCCAGCACAGCTTAGGGACCCTCAGGAGGGCAGCCTGGGCCAGGGTGTCTGTGACTGTCATGTGGCAGACACAGTCACGGGCAGGACCAGCAGCTGCTCCGAGTTCCTGGGTACAGAGGCCTGACTGTGGGGATCCCGGGGCCTACAACTCAGGGTGACACCTGGCGACCACTCCTTTCTAGCAAAGTCCCCCGGAGGCTGGGTGGACCTGAGCCTAGAGGGACAGATTGACGCTTGCTCACGATGGTGCGATTCCTACTGTGACGGAGGTCTCCCCTGCAGCCCCAGCCCGATGGCCTTGCCTATCCTGGAGTCAGATCTGCTGAGCACATATCTCTGTAGGGTGGCACATTTTTATCCAGAAGTTATTAGCTACACACCAGTGTTTAAAGAGAAAAAAGTGACCTTTCTTTTTTCTTGAAACTTGACGGGAAACAAAATACATACTACTGATTTTTTTTTTTTTTAAGAAACTAAAATGCATGACTGCAGAACGGTAGAGGTGTATATTTTTCATACTGTGGGGGAAAATCTTTGTGCTGCTTTTGGGAAATGGACCGGAACGCCTGGTTCCTGTCCCAGGCTGGCAGCGCTGTCCTCTCCGGGACCCGCCCGGAGGTGAGACCCGCAGCCGCCTGCCCGCTGCCCGCCACCGCCGGGCCCAGCCTCCGCCTATCCCCTCCTTCTGCTGAACCACTTGGATTTGTGGAGAGAACTAGAACTTTTTGATAGTGTGGTAAAAACATTGAACTATTTTAGTAAAAGGAGTAACAAATAAGCCTGTGATGGTGTGTACTTTGCCCTAGCTGAATAAAGCCCTCCTGGAGCCTCCTCCTGCTCTGAGCTCTCTGCGTGGGGAGCAGGGACTGGGGTTGGGGAGCCTCTTCTGTTCATCAAATCAAAAGGGTGGACGTAATAATACAAGGTGATCAACAATGGTTACCATAATGCCTCCCGCTATCTCTAATACAATTGCCTATATCATCAGTTATAATAAAATTGAACAAAACAATAAAGAACAAAACCGACAAAACCAAAACATTGGAGACATTATAGGTCTTCAAAAGTAGTTAATAGTCAACCAGAATGGGCGTCATAATGAATCTCACTATCTTCTGCATGCAGCCAACACCTGAAGGTGGTCTTCGAGGCACAGTTCCCTGACCCCTCCCCAGGTGGGACCCTTGACCCACTGTCCACCCCCACAAGACCAGGGCAGTTTCAGAACTGATTTTATTTGGTTAACTGACCGCAGGAGTCTCATTTGTAACTAAGATGGAATTCACAGTATGCTGTTACATTCACACTAAACAAAAAATGTATCTTTATGTACAGGAATTTGCAAATAGATGTAAACTAAACATACTTTACTTTCCAAGTACACATCTCTCTGGGAAAGAAAAAATCCATCCAACAAAGCAACCCCTTCAAAATAATTTTAATACAAAGGATGCAAACATCTGCCGATGAAAAAAGGGGCTCCTCTGACCTGCTGGGTATCATGGGAAATCACTGGACAGGAACAATGACAACAGCTGGACTTCAGGTGGAACTGGACTATTTAAAATCGAGTTTCCAGGAAAATAGGCACTGATTTCTAGAAGGAAGCTATCTATGGAGCCAATATGGCTGGTTAGCGCCTCCTGAGTATAAACCCAGTGCAGGGCGCCGATGTGAGTGGAAACCATGTAAACGGACTGCAGAGGAGGCCCGGCCCACCAGGCTGCTGCCCACCCTAGGTGCCAGGCCCAGGCCCTTCTTCCCATACTGCAGCTGTCTAACATACAAAGTACCCTGCCGCTTACCCACCTAGCTACTCAGGTTGATTAAAAACACTCTTATTAAAAACGAGGGGCCAAAGGGCGTCCTGTCCTGTTATCTCATCCAGGCAGCCCGCCCCAGCCCCCCCACAGGAGGCATGCCAGGTGGAGGGATGGGAGGGGGCACAGGCGGCTGTCCTCCTGGGGGGACAGCGGGAGGTGGGTAGCTAGCTGGGGGCAGACCCAGACCCGGAGGGGGGTGAGGTGGGACTGCGTGGGTGGGGGGCAGGCGTGGGGGAGGGGGTGGGAAGTTGGGGTTGTAGGTAGGTGGGGGTGGTGGGTAGCCAGGTGTAGGGGGCGGGATGGTGGGTGGGGGAAAGGATGCTGGAGGAGGGGGCACAGGGGGCGGGGGAGGGTTGGGGGGGTAGACATGGGGGTGGTAGGGAAGGTGAGCAGGCGGGCCGTATGCAGGGGGCATGGCGCCGTAGGAGGGGCCTTCAGTCTTCATCATGGACTGCAGGCTCTGGTAGCCCTCTCCCGACATGTAGGAGCTGGTGGTGGACATCCCGGTAATGTAGCTGGAGGGGGGTGGTGGCGGGGGCCGGTGCGGCAATGGTGGTGGCTGGTGCACAGGGGCTGGGTGGGCCGGAGGAGGGATCTGGACTTTGGGGAGGTCGCTGGCATCCACTGGGCCAGACGGCTCCGCCTCGCCTAGGGCAGCGGTGAGGGGAGGCTTCCGGTCTGCAGGGGAGAGACAGGTCAGTGTGCCACCTTGGACCCTAACTCGGAGCAGGCATGGCGGGTCTCTGGGTCACACCAGGACATCTTGGTCCCTGTCACAGGTATTGGCAGCCGTTTGTGTGGAGCAGAGTGTGGTGTCATCTCTGTGTCCTGGCAGGAAGGCCAGCACTGGAAGGTCCCAAGCTATCAATTAGGCTGCTCCCTGCTGTCCCCAGCCCAGCCCCTCTGCCCACCAGGCCCGGTTCCCCTCTGAGCTAGCTCCACGCACTCAGCTGTGGGCTTCCGTCTCTCTGGCCCTGTCTGCCTCGGGTCTGTGCCCTGGAGCCAGGCTGCACAGCAGGACTGGTGGCGGCACTAGCACTCAGTCGAACCAATTTTAAAAGGCCACTGGGAGTCTCGCAACATGCCCAGTGTGTGCATCTCAGGGGCAGGTGGTTTCGTCTCGCTCAGGAGAGGCAGGCTCAATGCCCAGCATGCTTCCCCAGGGACAGGCATGGTCTGCAGGCACCTGTGTGCTCTGCCAGGTGCCCCTGAGCCAGCCCTGTGCTTACAACCAGACCAGGCCCCGGGCTCCTAAGTGCTCCACAGCCTGGCCCCACCCGTCATGTCAGACCCCCGAAAGAGAATCTGTTCCCTCGCATGGTGGTACAGTGCTCAGAAGCGTCCTTTCCCAGGCAGCTCAGGGCAAATCCTGGGAGCAGGATGGCTGGGCCCAGAAAAGAGCTCTAACAGCTGAGGCGCAGGCCATGCAGGGGCCTCACATCCGCCTGCTGCCTCCGTGAGCCCAGTAACCCGCCTACAGCTGCCAACGTGTACGGCTCGGAGACCTGCTTGCCTGTGTGCCATAGGAGCTCCTTGCCTTGTCCTGCCCGCTGAAGATACCAGGGACAGGCAGGGCAGTGGGCATGCTAGTGACCAGCACCCTCACCCAGGAACTTGGGCAGCGCCACATACTCTCTGGTTCTGAAGGCCAAGGAAACAATGTATACAAATGCAGACCCCTGCTGGGTGCAGTGGTGCACATCTGTAATCCTACTCAGGAGGCTGAGACAGGAGAATTTCAAGTTTAAAACCAGCCAGAGCAACTTAGCAGGACCTTTTCTCAAAACAGAGATGAAAAGGGCTGGGGATGTGGCTCAGTACCCCCCACCCTGAGTCCCCAGTATCCAGAAGAACAAAGCACTGGCCCTTTTAACTCCTGTCACTCGTGTCCCAAATCTGCAGTTTCCTCCACCTGAGATACCAGCTCTGTAGCCTTTCCCAGCCTCACCCTGGCCCAGCCCCTGCCCCAGCTGCTGTGTGGGAACACAAGGTCCTGGATGCCCCAGGCCTCACTGCAGAGCTGAGCCCCACTCCTGCCGCCTTGGACTGCAGGCAGCGTTGGGCCCCATATCTGAGCTCTCCATGATACCACTCCTCGTTGTCCTCCTCCTCCTCAATCCTTCTGCACCAGAGGGCCACACAGTACCCTGAGGACCTTACTCGGGAAGCTCCTGTGGGCCCACCTGCGGGTTCCTACCTTGCAGGGCCCCCCAGGCTCCGCTCTCCCCAGTCTCGGCTCTCTTGGCTCCCACCTCCCCAGGGGCAGCTTGCCAAGCCCTGAGAGATGTTCCCATGGGGCTGGGAACAGGCCTCATATCAGGCTCTGCGGGCCTTGAACAAGGAAAAGCACTAGCTGGCTGCGAAGGTCCCTTAACAGCTGCTTCTGTATTTCTAAGCAAGATCCCTCTGAGCTGGGGGCTGAGATTCAGTCTAAAGTTCTCCAAGTGCCTGTACCATGGTGGCCATGTGTGTCACGTTCGCTGCCACTGACCACTGGGGCTCAGGAGTCTCTGAGATGGCCCCTGCCTGGCCTGGCTTTGAGGCGGGCACAGCAGAGCACGCTCTGTGCTTCAGCCTCCTGTTTCCCTGTGGCTGCTGCTGGAGACCCTGCTCAGCTCTCACCCTGCAGAGAAAGTCATGCCTTTTCACATACTCTGTGTGTGATCCCATCAGCCACTGAGTCCTCAGAATGCCCTAGCAGACATCCTAACCACAGGAAGCAGGTGCAAGACATGGATCCTGGTGTCCATGGCAGTCTGCTTGCCTGCCTGCCCTGGAAACGTGCACCGAGTGGCAGAGCACACTCATCTTCTGTGCAGTGCTGCCTGCTGGCTGGGAGAGGTCCGGGAGCCCCAGCCACACCTAAGATGGCAGGCAGCGCCTGGCTCACAGCGCCTGGCTCAGGAGGCGAACCATTTACAGCAGCCCCGAGCCCCATCCCTACCCCCTGCCGCAGCCGCAGGGTCACCGGCCTCGCTTACCTGGGGGCGGGTGGGCAGGAGGCAATGGTGGGTGGCTGGTCTCAATTTTGGGAATTTTAGGTGGTGGTGGTTCTAAAAAGAAAAGATGGGTTAAAATACCACTCACACTTCCTCATGTAAATAAAATACATCAGGAAGAGAACACAGCAAGAGACACGCAGAGATTTCTTTAGAAGCAAATGAACGAGGTCCCAGGCTTTCAGGGAGTCAGACAAGAGCTTCAGCTGAACTAGGAACTCACTGCCGCTGTTTAAGTGATTCAAGCCCTTTCCCGCACAGCACAGCCTGCTAACTTCTCTGGCTCCCATTTGTCTGAGATTCCTTGTTGACTTCTTAGGACAAATTCTTCAGCATCAGGAGCACGACAGCCAGATCTTGGCGAACTCCGAGGAAGGCGCTGGGCAGCAGTGCCGTGCCGTGCCGTGCCGTGCCGTGCCGTGCCGTGCCGTGCCATGCCCTACCTGGCTCACTGGGAGCCCTTTCCTGCGAACTTCTACTCCCTCACATCTGAAGCTGCTTCTCTCCCTCTCCACACTGATTTCCAGCAGGCGCTATGCCAGAAGCAGCGCATTACCTTGTGACAGATCTGGAAGCAGGGAGGACAACCGAGGCATGGCGCTGCCAGCCAGCACCACAGGGAGAACACTGCCCACCCTCTGAAGTCAGGTGCTGTCGCCAGCGTCCACAGTGACCACCCAGGCGGCCGGGGCAGGGTGTAAGAGACCGAATTCTTCCACTGAAGAAGGCAGACTGAGACACAAGCAGGACAGACCCCTTCTTCCTGCTCTTCTGGTGTAGCTTTTGTCCTGAGGTCTTTTTTTTTCTGTTTTGACCCGGGTCTCACTATATCATTCCAGCTGGCCTCCAACTTGCTGTGATTCTCCTGCCTTAGCCTCCTAAGCGCTGGGATTACAGGCGTGCGCCACCACTTCTGGCTTGTTCTGCAGTTTAAATGTGACCTGAGATCATGTGACACTGTATCTCCTGGCATCAGCAACTGCTTCCCTTACTTCCCTGTCTCAAGTGCAGGGCAGGTTCTGGGTATAGGGACCCTGTGCCCTGTGGACTTGGCGATCAAGTCCTCTCTATAGTAAACCCACACACTGCCATCTCCTCCGACACCAATCGTGGCTGCCCTCGGCCTGTCAAGCTCCAGCTGTCCCCAGCAGCTGTCCAACTGTGCTACGATGAGACACACACAATTTTAACTTTCTAGCAGGTGCGTGAAAAAGGAAGAACTGAAACTCATTTAGATATTTTCTTAACCCAATTGACAATTTTAAAAGAAAATTGCCATCTGGGGCCAGCCACATGGGCACTGGGCCCCAGTCCTCGCCTTCTGCTCTGTGGCCAATGCCCCCACCTAAAGGCTCCACTCCTCGAAGGCGAGTCCCCCTGGGATCAGCTGGGGCCGTTTCCTGCCTCGCCAAGGACCTGTCCACTGTCGTGCCGCTCTAGAGCCTGAGGTGCGCTCAATGCCTGCAAATCTGGAGCTAAAAACAATGCACCTGTACTGAACTTGCCACTCCTCCCAAGACGCTGAGAAAAACAGCATTACCGGAACTTGAAGATCTCACAACAGCTTTATGAATTCATTGGAAAAGAAGTAAGCAGTGAAGAGATGAGAGAGAGTAAATATGGCTAGTGCTTTCGAAGCACTCAGGAGGTCAGCAGCACAGACCAAGGTACGCTAAGTTTTGTGACCTTTCAGATTTTATTCCCTTTGCTTTCAACACAGAAACAAAATCATGCAACTCTGCTCTAGGAACGTGCAAGAAGGCTGGTGTCTTAAATTTAGGGGTCTGTGGCTTTTGGGGCCACACACCCAGCACCCCATCCTTTCTAGCCTGCATGCTGCCACTGTGTTGAGCACAGGCCCTCTGATGGCCCCTTATTTTGTCCCCAGTGGAACGCTTCATTCGTCCCTCAAAATGAACAGCACAACTGGCTCACTCCATTCAGAACTGCTCCTTCTGAGGGGTTTTTTGTACTGGGCACTGAACCCAGGACACCTGAACACCGAGTTACAGATCTTGTCTTGTTTTCATTTTTTATTCTGAGACAGCCACACTTAAGTTGTTCAGACTGGCCCTGAACTTGATATCCTCCTACCTCAGCTTCCAGAGCAGCTGGGATTCCAGGTGTGAGCCAACATGCCCCACCAGAACTGAATTCTCTTACGTGTTCTCAAGAGTATTTGTACACCAATGTTTCCTGTATCGATACTTCTTTGTAACAATCTATAAAATGACACAGGCCAGTGTTTTTCTACAATAGGGAAAGTTTTTGATGGCTGGAGGTTAAACTGTAAGGCTAATTCACATCTGAAAGGAAACAATGCTGACCAAGTATTTAAACGAACCTACACAGAAACAAAATAAATGAAATGTAAGAATAGGGTATTGGGCTGGGGACTTAGCTCAGCAGCATAAGCACCTTTCCTGGCAAGTGCAAGGTCCCAAATTTGGATACCCAACATACACACACACACACGGGTATTACAAAAATAGGGTATTACCTGCTGCTTTGTTCTCTTCTTTGGGAGAAACAACCTGTTAAAAAGAACACATATGACCATTAACCAAGACGCCAGGCACCCCAGAATCCCAGGGAGACTGAGGCTACGCAGCAGTTTTCTGTGACCCGTGCCTGCGGTCCCTCGCCATCACACCTGTCCCTTTCTTCCCTGGTCAAAGAGAAGGAGCCCCTCTTCTGCAGAGTGCTCTTGGCAACAGCAGCCTTCGGTTCTTGCTACAGTGGCTCTCTGGGGTTTGCTTTCCTTTGGGGGTTCTTATCAACCAAATGGCTTCCTCTAGTGGCTGGAGTCCTTCCATGGTGAACAGATCTGTGTCCCCTGACCAGAAACCTTTACCAGTGTGCTGTGTGTCACTTAAAGAACTTAAAGTACACTGAGGACAGTGGGCCAGAGCTAAGGACTCCAGCAGCCAGAGCATGCAGCTGGGATGCCTGGGGAGGGAAGCAGTCCTACTTCAGGTTCGCGCGGAAGAGAATACTGGGCGAAGATGCACCCCAGTGCTCCAGAGTGGAGGCTGCAGAGCCCACCTGACTCCCCACCAGCGGGCCACACTGTGAGCTGGGGCAGGTCCCCGCGTCCGCGTCCCATGTTCAGTGCCATCCCCGGCAGGGCTAGCGCCCAGACCCCGCTCACCACAGCACGCTTCGCCTGGCGGGGAGGGCTGGGCTGCGGAGACAGCTTCTTGGGCTGCTGTGCGGGTGGTGGCGGCGGCTGCTGGGCTGACTGCTGTGAGTCCTTCTGCGGGGGCGGGGCTGGCTCGGCGCCCTGAGATGGCTGTGGCTGCTGAACTTGCGGCACTTGTGGTGCAGGCTGAAGAGACGGGGGCTGCTGCAGCTGATGGGGCGTGTGATGAGGCATCTGTTGCTTTCCTTGGGAGTAGAGGTCTAGGATCTGGTGGCAGATGTCTAAACGATAGCCAACAATTACGTTCACTATGGATCTACGCTGTAAATCAAATTTTACTGAGAAAAACTCAGCTCTGATTCCCCTACAAGGCCCAGTAAGCAGGCAACTGGGCCCGTCTTTGCTGTGCGTGACACTGGGCTTCCTTTCTAGTTTGCAAGACCTGCAGAACTTTGTGGTGGACCAAAGTGAAGGTCACAGCAGAGAATTTGAAGGGTATGGGCTGTCAGGGAAGAACCATCTAAAGATGGGACTCTCCCAAGACCACTCACTGGCTCAGTACCTTCCAAAACATCAACAGGGACGTCCTGAACGAACTGCTCCCACCATCTCCGGTACATGGGCTTGGAGGTCCATTCTTGTATTTCAAACTTGCACAAACGTCCTGCTAGATACATGACTGCCACTGCTATGATCTCCGGCTCCCACTGCAGTGACAAGGTGGTGCAGAGACTGGTGGAAAAGGAAAGAAAGGTATGACATTTAAGATGAAACTATGCATGAAGATTTGAAGCCGTATCTACCTCCATGCTAACCCAAGTAATTAATGCACTATAAATAAAAAAGCAAGTTTCCAGGTACCAGTCACTAATCTGTTCTTTAAAGAATCCGAAGAATTTGAATACATGCAAAAAGTGCTACGTTATGACATACACATGTCCTGTTGAAATCCTAGCCACTGAGCTGCTTCTTTGAATGAACTTCTCTGGGGAGGGCAGTCACTCTGCAAGACAGATGTGAGGGACTGCCGCCTCTCCACCATCGGCATCCCCAAGAACACTCTGGAACCATTACAAGAAATCAATCGGGTTCTGAGGCTTCTGATGTCAAAATCTCCCATGTGTGTTCTGGACTAAGGTTTCAAATTGGAACTAACATTCCAAGTTCTCACACTGTGATGCCTTCTCTGCTGGGAAGCATCGGCTCAGACCTCAGCCCCAGTTCGGCCCCTGCCCCTTTATCCAGGGCTGGTTGTTTCCTCAACTGCAAAATGACGGCCTTGTATTAAATGACCCATAAAATCTCTCATCACACTACTGCAATTACATCAACATTTAAACACATGTACCTGTCATTTACAAAGGTCCATGCCATCTGAACCAACTTTTGAATTTTGTTTTTATCACCTAGAAATGAAGAAAAAGGCAAAAATTAATAGAAATGGAGGGACAAGAATTTATAAGAAATAACAGTAAACACGCGGTATTAGCCCAGGACAGCACCTGCATCTAGGAAAGGGCAGAGGAACAAAGGCGGCTCTGTCCTCCCCTGGTTCTTTCCCTACACTTGTCCTTTCTCTGCGCGACCTATGCTGAAACACCATGTATGGGAAACTGGCTGCAAGGCTGACTTTATTAGTCTATTTAAAACCCTGACTCATCTTCATGCTTTGCATCACCCGGCAACTGGATGACAGAACCTGTTTATGCGAGAAGGAAGCAGTGCGAAGGGCTGCGGGCACACTGCCTGTGCCACCATGCCCGGGACTTCCGCGTCACCGTACCGTCCTCTCTAAGGGGCACACCTTGGGCACCACTCAACTTACAGACCTGATTTCACAGTAACAAAGATCTCCGGGGAACTCTTCCTCCTACCTTTGAGCTGTTTGGCATATTTGAGCAGGAACTGGTATGGATGTTCTACCTGTAGATCAAACTTTATAGTCTGCAGTAAGATTCTCTCCAGAACCATTACTTCTTCCTAAAAAGGAAAAAAAAGCATCAGGACAGAAATTACAAGTCTCAAATAACATTAACAAATTGAACTTTCCTGTTTATTTTCTCCTTTTCCATTCAGGCTCAGAAACAGTGACACGCAAAGGACTCGCAACAGGTAGAAAAACTAATCGAAGGGTAACTCAAGGGAAATGACATTAAATAAAGATTCTTAGCAATGGTATCACTTTCAAATACACATGGATTTCCCTTAACAAAATCAAGTGGTTTCTTTCGAGATTCCTCGACAAAGGCAACTCCCGGGGAACTTGAAGCTGAGACAATGCAGTGTGCATGTGTGAATGGGCTTTAGCATTTTGTCTTCGAATCCTTCATTTATACAAAACAAGTGCTCCCAACATTACTTACTGAAAACATAAAGATACCATTTTTCCTTTTATTGTAAATGCAGCTAAATCATTATCTTGTACTGGGTATACACGCATTTACATACACAGGCAACCTTCTGGCCAGGGACCATTTGTCTATTTCTGTACCACAATTAAAGTGGTAGGAAGGCTTCCTTTCATTGCTAGTCCTCTTTTGTAACAAAGTGGCCTGTTTTGCCAGGTCCTAACCAACCATGGTTCCACTCCTAAATGAATACACAATGCCACTCATGTTCTGACTGGGAACTCACTGACTTCACAGGGCAAACAGAGGGTTTCAACTTTAATGAACCATCCTAAAGACCTTTTATTAAAACCTTTTCAGCCCCTTAATTTTAAAGGTTTTTGTAGATGGAAAATCTCACCATTAGTCGTCACACAAACATGAACTTTGAGAAGAGATAGGAGGGAATGACTTTCATTCCACATCACTGCTTCAGGACTACAGAGATGACTCTATAATGATCTACTGCTCCAAAAGGCAGGGCAGGACCACAGTCTTCCTCTCCCAGTGGTTACCCCCCGTTTTCCCATTCGCACAGTACGTATATAAAAAATATTCCTCCTTTTTTTGTCTGCTGTGCATCCCTGTTTCTCAGCAGCTTCAGCATTTCAGCTAAGTTTAAAAGGAACTCAGCACAAATGCCAACAGTCTGCAGGCGGTGGTCCATCTAGGATTACAGAACAGCCCGAGGCCTGCCCTCGGGTGTGGCTAACAGGTAATTATGTGTCAACTGCACAGCCGTCCTCAGGGAAGCTTCCTGCAGTTTTCCGCTTACCTGGGTCCCTGGGTAGAACGCTCTCACAGCACCTTTAACTAGTCTTTACAGCACTTCCTAAGTCTCATGAGGGGATACACGATTATCTTATTAAAATCTATGAGAGCAAAGAACACAAATGTTTTGCCAAGTTTTATCTTGTGCTTACCACAGTGGAAAATTAAACATTTGTTGAATATATGAGAGAATAACATTACTCAGGAAAACTACCCAGTTAAAACAATATTAATTGATGCCAAAAAAATTACACACGCACTCAACTTTCTTTTCCTAAATACTTACACTACCTCCCCGAGTAAGCATTCTCTTCTTTTCCAAGGGCAGCACTGGGTCTTCCCTACTGCCAGACATGACCTGTCTTGTGACTGCACATGCGAGAGAAAGTGGGCAGGGCCTGCCCGCCTGCGTGTTTAGGTCTCACTAGTGTGAATGGTTCCGATTCTCACTTCCTCAGGAGTGGAGCTCTACCCTGCTGTGTGCAGACCAGGTCCTGGCTTCCTAACTGGACGACACAGTGCCGAAGGTAAAGAGGAACTTCTCCGGGGACACCCAGGGCAGCACAACCAGCTATGCCAAGCGTCCTCACGCGCAGGGTCCACTCAGAAGCTCCAAGGTTCACCTGCCCCTGACAAAACCTGGCTGAGGCACGAGGTGTCCCTATAGCTGGATGACACCAACCATGGATTCGCTACCTATGAAAATTGCCTACAGATGTAGAAAACATTCTCTGATAGTTACGTGGTTTTATAAAGATGAACTTTTTTTTTGTCTTTTTCCTTTTTATCGGTACCGGGGATCGAACTCACGACTGCCTGCTTGCAAGGTAGGCGCTTAATGCCACTGAGCTAAATCCCCAGCCCCCTAAAGATGAACTTTTGATTACTGTTAATTTGAGTCTAAGTTCAAATCTTACAAATAAGATTTCTAATGAAGTTTAAAGGACAGAAGTGTCCCGCACTGATGATGCTGCATGCAGGACAGAGGGCAGAGAGCCTGCTTGTTCCGGACCACATGGAGGTGCTGCATGCAGCCAGTGAGGAAAGACAGATCACGGATGGCGCCAGACTCAGGGCCTGAGCTGGTCTGAACTGTGATTCCGAGTCTCCTCTCCAGAGAAGCACGTGCCACTCACTGAACAGGACTCTGCCGAATGTGTGTTCAGCACTGTACTGGAAAATTGTGCTCCTTATGGATCTTACAGTTAAGAAAGGAAAGAGTTATGTGTGTGACTTTTTCACTGGGTCACCATGGCGAGGGCGCAGCAGTGGTAAAGATGCAGAAGCACTGTCTTATGGCTGTGGCCTGAGGCCACACCAGAGCTGCCCAGGGGAGGCCTGTGATCTCCTGGGAAAGAGCACTTTTACGAAACGTGTCCACCCCATCTCCAGCTGTTGGTGGGTTCAATGTGCTTTCGATTCCAGACAAAATGACACCAATACAGAAGCTTCTTGCTCTAGCACCAAGAAGTCATACGCCCAAGTTTAAGGAAGTACACACTGTGAAAAAGCGTAACTTCCAGTGTCTTGTAAGAGCTCAGCACTGTGGTGAAAGCAGACGCCTGCTGCCACACCCAGAAGTTGTCCGGGCAATTCCACAGGGACATTGGCCTGAAGAGACCAGAGACAGACCCCAAGGTCTGCAGCACTAAATCATGGCATGGCTGGCTCCAAAGCCAAGAGCCTATTGCTGATTTTTAGTACACCTACACTGGGCCAATCAATAGTACATGCTCCTCAAAGAATGTGGTCAAAAGAAACTTTTCTCAACTAAAAATGCTGCTTAGAATGAATCCCAAAAGAATCCAAAGGTGGACTTCAAAAATTTATCTTTGCTATGAAGGTTCAACTTTGAAAATAAAAAATGTCTAAGGTAATTTCTGAAAGTACAGTTAGCAAAGTAACTTAAAAAAACTCGTATTTATTCTACAAACATTTGGAAACCAGACCAAGTGCAAATTCTGCCTGGCATCTTTCAGAGTTCATGGGAAAGTATCTCTCTGGGATAAAGGACTGAACCTTCCCAGAGTGCCTGAGAACAGCAAACATGCACAGAAGGCTCTCCTAACTGTGTGTGGGGATGCTGGCCAAGCACTAACACCAAGTAATACTTGGGATTGTTTGCTACATATCTATGTAATGGAGACTCAAACGCATACTGCTAAGTCAAGGGACCCAATCTAAAAAGGCTTCATATTGCACGTTTCTAACCCTATGACATTCTGGAAAAAGCAAAACTACAGAGATAGTGAGAAGAACAATGACCACGAGTGATTAAGTGGGAGGAAGGGATGAACAGGCACTGTACTGTTATATCAGGGTAGGTACACATTACCTATTTGTCCAAGTTCATAGGATGTAAAACTGAGAATGAACCTTAACGCTAGTGACAATGATGTGAAGGTAGGGACCTCAGTAGGAACACATGGACCACTCTGTGGAGGCTGTGTGCCATGGGACAAGAGGCACACAGGAACTCTGACTTTTGCTGTGAACTGAACAGCACTCTAGAGAAATCGATGTAAGGTATGATAAATGTTACAAACAATTAACAAGCGATACAAGGATGAAACTGGGTGAAAATGTGGTGGGAGAAAACTATCACTGCTCCCTGAAATGGTATTAGAGAACACAGTGAAAGCCTGAATTACTTTAACCCCATTCCCTGACAATGGCAGAAACCGTAGGAAGGGACAGGATGGAGACTGTAACTAGCCATCAGAGTCTAGGTATCTGAAAATGATGCAATGTCAGTAACCTCGACGTCCCTGAGACGTAAAAGGCACAACAGCATCTGTACTTTGAGCTGAGTAAGGAGCACCCCCAGCACAGACCCTAAGAAGGTAGCGCACTGGTGGAAAGGAGGAGACTTCTATTTACACTTGTCTTAAGCACTGTCACCCCTCAAGAGCTCAGGACACTGCGGGCACTACCCCAATGAGGCCACGCACTCTCCTCTCACATCTTGCAATGCAAGTAGTACCCTCAGCAGAAGCTCTCTTAGGAACTCGAGGCACCGGCAGACACAGGTGCACAGCCACTGTCTGTAACTCAATGATGTCAGGTAGGAAGTTATGGTTCTTACCTTTGGGTCATCTCCAAACTGGCCAAACTGTACATCATTTAATAAACTACGAGCTGTTTTGATGATATCTTTACATTTTTTTGGAGTTTCTTCCACTTTCCCAGCCAAAAAGAGACAACAAGCTCCTGTCACCTAAAAGAGAGACAAAAGGTCTTATGTTTTTGCTAGCAGATTTTTAATTTTCTCAATAACCCAGATCCTCTCATTTTTCTACCTTCTTACTCATTTAAAAATATTCTGATACCCTAAAAGCTTGAAGGAGCTATCTGGCTTTGTAAAACGTTTTAAGACTTAGTTTTCTTAGAGTTGGGGTTATAGCTCATTAGTAGAGTGCCAGCCTAGCATTTATGAGGCCTTGCATTTGATCCCCAATTCTAGGGGAAAAAAAAAAAACAAACCACAAAGCCACAGAACCAAATTTACTTTTTATATTGCAGTTTGGAGGATTTCTATTTTCTGTACAGTAAACTGCTATGAAACAGAACAAGCACAACCGCGTGCAGGTCCTGTAGAATCCATTTCTGTACCACTGGCCACATTTCCCTTCCTTCTGCGCTGGCCAGAATGTATGTGTCCCCAGGAGTCCGTGCCTTGAAAAGCACCTCTGATGCAGCCGTATTCAGAGGTAGGGCTTGGGATTCATGGGCCCCCTTGAATGGATGGCAACTTCCTGAAAGAGGCTTCAGAGCGAGCACCAGTCCCTCCTCCTCCCACATGACAAAACAGCAAGCAGGTACTAATCTGCGAGCACCCTGACCCTGGACGTGCCCAATTCACAACTGTGAGGAGCAAGTTTCTGTAACCGTTAAATTACCTAGCCCGAGGTTACTGTGCTACAGCAGCCCGCAGCCACAATGGGCGAAGACACTCTGTGTAGTTCTTGTATCCCCATGGTCTCAATTCTCTCCCCCAGCTTTTCCCGACCCTCTACTATCCTACATGCCACTCTCCTCCCATAACCCTGACACTGGATGCTACTCTGCTAGAGGACAATGCTACTTCTGACAGTTTCCTAAGAACTTTATAAAGTGGTAAGGGAGACAAACTCATAAATATAGTAAAATTTCAGCAACCCCTTCCAAAAACCAAAAAACCCCCACCCCAAACCAAAACAACAATAGAAAAGTCCAGCAAAATGACCTTCCTCTTAAGTCTCATTCTGTTTACTGAGAAGTCCAATGTCTCTCTCTAGCTTTAAGTGTCACCATGCTCTGACTCGGCCTACCTCACACCCAGGGTCACACCCTTTCCTTCCCTCCACATGGAGCTCCCTGCTGGACCTGCTGAAGCCAGTTCTGGGCACACCACCACCCTTACCCATCCCTGCACATCTATGCTCTCGTATGCCCAAGGTTTAGCTCACGACCTGTACCTTCGGCCTTTCGGACTCCCCAATTCCTGCAAGATGTAATTAAGCTCTCCCTGCAGTGTCACAGCCTTCTACCTGTACCACTCCCCTGGCCCAAACTTATCTTGGAAAAGTAACAGAAAAGCAAACTTTCATACAAAGCACAACACAGCAATGGCCCACATTCCTCTTAAAGATTTCGGTATAGTTAGAAAAGACATAATTCCCACTTGATTTTTAAAAAAACATTAACATTTTACAGAAAACATGGTAAGAGAGACTAATGTGTCCACCAAAACAGGCAGAACAGTAGTGTGGTAGGGATCACAGTAACATTTAAACACTTACATATCTTGGGAATTGCTTGAAGGAATGAAACATGTAGAAGCGATGAAAATAAATTATTCCAGTTGCCAGGGTGTCATAGTGTCTGTTTTACTGGTTAAGGACTTTAGCAGTAACTATTATAGGCTCTGTTTTTAAATGCAGAACAACAAAGACAGCAACAACAACATGAGTGATAAACAATGCACAGTGACAGAGCTGGAAGAAGGGGCGTCTCTGAGCGCCAGCATTTTGGTTCACGAGTGAGCAGTGTGAAGTCCTGTGTTTTTAACAAGCCTCAAGAAACACTGTAGCCGTTATCCCGGGTGGCCGCTTGCTTAGTGGCTGAGTCTACACATTTAACGGTGAAGCGGAAACAGAAAAACCCTGGAGTCATGCATTCAGGACAACACTTACACAACAAAGATACACACGAGCTGCCCTAGTGCAGAGAAAGGACTGTACAGTTTGTCTAGAGTATCAGTTTGGATCTTGGTGGTAGCAGGGGAGAGTGTGAGGAGGATCAGGATACAGTCCCAGTCGTGTGCCCACATCGAAGATGAACCGGGCCCCCTCTCGGCGGTACCGGGCCTCTGTGGCTGGATCGAGTCCTTCGAGCTGCGAGGGTGTATGAGCCAAGTCTTTCTTATCCCAGTACCAACATGGTTTCGTGTGGTCCAGGTTTGCTGAGGTTACTGAAGGGCTTGAATTTTCTTTATTTTCCTTCATTTATTGAAGTAGACTTGTTCTTTCCAAAGAGTTCTCTGAAAATGTTAGACTCCTAAGAGAAAAAGACACAAAGTTGGAAAGGGATGCCACACTGTAAGTCATCCTAATCACCACAAGCAATCTACGGCCACAGAAGCTCCTGAGGCTGAGTCGAAATTCCTTAAAGCAGCTACCCTACTCGCTGGCAATGAGGGGCCCCAGGCGACCCCTCAAAGCCAGTTCAGCACATACAATAAGGAACTCCAGTGTTGTAATGCCCAGCTTTTATGGTAGTTGTTAAGAGCATTTCTTCCTTCTCTTGAGCCTAAAGGTTTAAGTTTGGACAAGATTTTGGGAGAAAGCAAGTATATCATAGTTCCTTTCTGCTTTTATTCATGAGACACATACTTCTGCTGGTTTAAATTCCATTCTTCAGTGAAATTTGAACCTGTGTTAATCCCCTACAAAGCTTTATGCTTCAAAATTATTCTCTCTTCCATCTACCAGTTAAATTTTCCCTTGTTTAATTCACTTGATTTCCCGCAGGCATTTGCTTATAAAAGCCATGGGATTGGGTTAGTTCACATGTGCACAAGTCACGGAATTGAGCAATGAACCAGGTGTGTGCTGGGCATAGTGTAATCCCAACACTTGGGAGGCTGAGGCATGAGAATGGTGCCAAGTTCGAGACTAGCCTGGGCTACAAAGTGAGCTCAAGGCCAGCCTCAACTGCAAAGTGAGGCCCTATCTCAAAAAGACAAAACGAAACAGGTGTGTGGTACAGTGACACCTGGGTGTTGATCTGGGGGAGTGGCTGGAAGGTGGCCTATGAGAAAGGTGCTCAAGTGGTCTTGCTTCTTATCCTCCTCCCTTTTTTTCATTCAGAATACTGATTCTCTAAGTGCCTCACGCTTCCAACAGAAAACCACCAACACAAGGAGCTCACTTGAGCACTGAAAAGTGGAGGTCTCTTGTAAAAAGAGATGTCTGTTCAGGAAACAGAAGACATTTTCAAACAGGGTAGCAGAAGGGTTCCAGGAGAGGTGCTAGAGCCAGCTCAATCTGGTGAGCAGGAAAATAGCAGCTGTGTGGCCCAGATCTGAGCTGCAGCCCCACAGGTTCATCTGGAGCTGCCCCTGCCCTGAGCCTGCTCCCTTCTGGTGGCAAGGTGACACAGCAGGGCCGAGCAGTCTCTCATTCTCGGTATCTGGGACCTTCAAAGGCATCATGCTGTTTCCTTCAACAGGAAGAATTAAATAACTGGAAAAGGTAATCTGCATGAGTTAAATTTATGTGACTTTTATATGTGATTTATTAAATTGGGCAAAGTTGGGGGCTGTTAACTAAATCCTCAGAAACCATCATAGTGAGAGACCATTTCTCATCTACTGAATTGGCAAAACCCCAAAATGTTGGCAATTTCCTGTTGCCAAAACAGGGGAGAAGGGGGCATTCTTATACATTGTGGGTAGAATACAAAATGGCAAAATGGTCACAGCGGGAAGCAGGAAGTAGCTAAGAAAATGACATGCGCATTTGCTTTTTGACCTAGCAACCTTGCTGTAGGAATCATCCCAGGAAACACTTCCACAAGTAGGAAACAACACATATACAAGATTATTCACTGCAGTGCTGTTTGTAATAGCAAGTCTGCAAATAACCCAAGTGCTTAGCAACAGGGACTAGGTAAGGAGATTATCTATGATACAGGGACACAACAGTATACATGGCTAAAGGATGGAGAGCTCCAGGGTCAGAAAAGGAAAGGCAGCACACATAGTATGCTAATATCTAGGCAAGACAGGGCAGGAGCAAACTATTTTCTTGCACCCAAGTTTTTAAAACAACAATAGAGTTATCAATAGGAAATGGGAAGAACAGAATGAGAAGACAAAGACTGGAACAGGACTTCACTGATCTATTGTTTTTATATAGCTTTTGGCTTTTTTGGTAATTCTTTTATTCTAAAATAATTGTAGATTTACAGAAGTTATAAACAAAGTACAAAAGAGTTTTTGTCTACACCCTTAATTCAGTTTCCCAATATTTTACACAAATACAGTACTAAAAAACTAACTGGCACAATAAACTTGGAATTTTTTTTTCAAGGCAGGGTCTCACTCTGTAGTGCAGGCTGGCCTTGAATTTGCTTATGCAGCCCAGACTATCTTTCAACTCACAGTGACCCTCCTGCCTCATCTTCCTGAGTGCTGGAATTACAGGCATGTGCCATCATGCCCAGCTTTTACTTGGATTTTAAGTTCTTCCAAAATCCCCCTTTCTGCTGAGAGACCCAGTCCAGGATACTCCACTATGTTTAGGCATCACAGAAGAGGGTCCTGTCTCTTCTAATGTGTAAGTTTTTCAGTTTTGCTATGACCTTGCCAGTATGACACACTATGCAAATATTTCATAAACTATGGATTTAGCTCTGCTATTTCCCCAAGGGTGGAGTTTTAAGGAAAATGCCACCGAGGCCATGCTGCTCTCAACAGATAGTGTCAGTGGTGGGCAGTTTCGAAATGACTTTTTACCCTAATGTCACTCATGACCACAGTGGTCAGCCAGCTTTTCTTTTTTTTTTTATTCTTTTTTATCGGTACCGGGGATCAAACTCACGACCACCTGTTTGCAAGGCAGGTGCTTATGCTGCTGAGCTACATCCCCCAGCCCCTCAGCCAGCTTTTCATTGTTCATTACTATTGTACCCTTTGCATTTCCTGTTCTTCAGAAGCCAGTTGCCAGCTTCAGCCCACGGTTCTTACTTTGGGATGTGGAAATTAAAGTCTACTTTCTGCAGTAAGAAGTATCAAAGAACTTGTGGGCATACATTAAAACTTCCACAGTAACTACTAAATAATATTTTGGAAAATATTGCAGTGCAAAATACTCTACAACTACCTGTTGCTTCTTAAAGTCCTGTTCCACTAATTCTAGCACTCATTTGAGGACCCTGTGCTACAATTATGATCGTGGTTTTTCTTTTGTTTTTGAGACAGAGTCTCCCCATGTTGGCAGGCTGGCCCTGAACTCGCAAGCTCAAGCGATCCTTCTGCCTTAGCCTCCTGAGCATGCCTGGCTACAGTGGTGACTTTCCATTTCCTTTATTCCTTCAACATCGATTACTTAGAATTCTTTTATTAAAAGATTTGCTCTACTTTGCCTTTTTAATCATGTAAATATTTAATATATGAATATAACTAAAAATAAAGCAACAAATCCTACCCTCAGACTAAACCCCTTGTATACCAAATGCACAACATAACCACACAAAAAAATATTTCAAGTCATTTGGGATCCCAATAAGATCCTTAGTGAGATATACTCTATGGACAAAAAGAATTATAAAAACTTTAAACTTCATAATACTGTAGTAGTGTTGGATCATACTTCTCAATCACCTTTTAATACAATGCAGCATAAAACAAGTAGTAAATTTTAACATTAGGAACCAAGAATTTTCAGTGCAAAGAAAATAATCATACATATGCACAAAATTAGAGAAAAAACTTGTTAAATTTTAGTTAAAATGATTACAAATAAATTTATATCTATCTCCCAACTCTGTCCATTTCTAGTAACTAGAAACAATGACATTCCCATAATAAGCCACAGTTTAATGCCAACATTTTGTTTTTTTCAAAACTGTTACCTTCCAAAAGGAAGAAGACTCCTTTCCAGTCTGGAATAAGAACCTCCCTGGGATTTGGTCTAATTGAAGCCTATCAAAAGACAGGATAGCAGGTAGTGTGGTGGCACACGCCTACAACCTCAGCTACTCTCAGGGCTGAGGCAGAGGACTGCAAGTTTGAGGCCAGGTCCAAACTTACTGAGAACTTACCTTAACATAAAACTGGATTTACTGTCACTTTTCTCAGGGATTACATAGCAGAATGACTGTTCTTAGGGGAAGCAGACTAAAGTATTTCCATTGAAGTATCCTGATGCTTCAACTTACTTTCAAACCGTCTATCTAAAATGTTGTCACAGAGAGTGCATCCAGTGGAGACAATAGGTAAAAAACAAGCAGTTACTGTACTACACTTTCTTGTAATAATAAATTAGAGTAAAAAAAGTCAGATGAGGGAGTGGGGATGTGGCTCTGTGGTAAAGCTCTTGCCTTGCATGCACAAGGCCCTAGGTGCGATCTCCAGCACAAAAACAAACAGATGAGACTGCTTATCTCTTCTTATCTCTTTTAGACTCCATTAGACCCCTCAGTAGCCAAGGAGTATCTGCAGTGGTTTCACAGTCTTTGTAATTCAGTTAAGGCACACAAAAAGAAAAGTGCACTAATTATAAGCATACAGCTAATTTCCACAAAGTAAACATACCTCAGTAGAAAATCAGAATACTGCCAACTTTCTAGAAACTTCTAATGTTCTCCTAGTCACTAGTGCTCCAAAGATAACCTCTATCCTGATCACCAGTCTAGGCCGTTTTTAAAGGACTACCCAATAGAATAGTACATGTGGGCAGTGCTCAAGCTGAGAAAGAGCTGCACTGTACCTTGTTCTATAGAAATAATACAACTTATCATTTTACTGTGATGAAGGTTTGCAACGTTTCTGGTTTGCTACACTAACCAACACTCACATACATTCTTGTAGAACAGATGGTACTTGGCCAGCTGGCGGGGAGTCAGTCCCTTAGCACTTTGTAACCCCTGTATGGTACACTAGCTGGCGTCACTACTTTAAGAGATGTTGCCTGTATCTGCATGCGCTTTCATCCAAGGGTCTGTGAGTACTTACTGTGAGCCAGGCCTCACAGCACGGGGATGTCTCCCTCTCCAGAAGCTTACATTCTAGGGGGAGAAGAGAAACAACACAGGGAAGGCAACAGAAAACTGGTGCTGAAAGAAGCTGGTTCGACAAATACCAGGTCTCAAGAACTTGAAAGACACTTGTACAGAAATATCGATTAGGCAGACCTGTTGAAACCTGGAAAGAATGTGTCTATTTGGGATGTGTAGATGTGCTGACTAAAGTTACAGTCAGGGACAGAGGGAGGAGAGTGAAAAAAGGGGCTTGGGGTCTGGGGACAGATCTCTGATAAACCTGTGGGGAAATTCACAAAGGTAAGATAGAGGCGTTTCATTTATATATATGTATGTGTGTGTGTGTATTCTTTTTTTTGTACTGGGATTGAACTCATGACCTTGTGCTTGCCAGGCAGGCGCTTATGGCACTGAGCTAATTCCCAAGCCCTCCTTCTAATATTATTGGGTGTGGTGGGACATAGCTATAATCTCAACATTCCAGGAGTCTGCGACAGGAGGATTCCAAGTCTAAACCAAGCCTTAGAGAGACCCATTCTCAAGAGGCACGGAAGTTTACACTGAACCGGTTTGCATGAGAACCCACTGGATATTCAGTCTTAAAACAGAGGTGGAAGTCAGCAATAACGAATAAGGAAAGATTACTCCACTTGGTGATGAACTGTTAATTAAGAACACTGAACACTGATTGTGGTGATGGTCACATAACTCTGAATATATGATAAAAATGATTGCCTGGTTAGTTTTGTATGTATGGTTTTGTATGCTATATAAATTATGCCTCAATAAGATAGATATAAATATAAATAAAGAGCACATTTTTAGAAATGCAGTGGGGCAGAAAAAAATCTTCTGAGGCATCTGTTGCTCAAAAGAGTGACACAGCGACAGGCTGTTACGTCTTCCGAGGGAGTTAGCCAGTCAAGGGGTAATACAGCACAGTAAGCAAGTCAGTGTGAAAAAGGAAGCACTTTTTCTGAGAAACAGTTGGAGGAAGATGGAATAAGAAATCTTGAAGAGGCGGCTGGGGGTTTAGCTCAGTGGGAGGAAGTAATTACTTAAGAAAGGGTCCATTTGCTCAACTAGAGCGCAAGACATCTACTGAGAGGAAAGGGCCAGAAAAGGGCTAGAAACAAGCTGCAAAGAAACTGAGATGGCAAGAACGTGAGTTCACGAGTGAACAAATCATAAACATACTTGAGTCTGTTTCACCTGTGGTCACCAGCCAGCTTACACACCAGTAATATAATGTTCTAGTGCCACTGTCCAGATTAGTAATCTTCAGACTCTGGGGCAGGATGAATAAAACATGAAACACAATGAAAACAGATGTATATAAAAAGAAAAGCACCAGTCCTATAAACCATCCATTTTCTAAAAAAAAAAAAAAAAAAAAAAAAGCCGGCTTCAGGTCTACAACTCTGTTCCCTATTGCTCTTCAATTACTTTTTCACAAAAAGTTACAAATTTTCTCACTGGCAGTTCAAGATGATGTAAAAATGACTGATGTACGAGATTTATGAGCTCCACAAAAGTGACAATCTCTTCATAAACAAGCATCGTGTCAAGGCATTTTAGCAACATTTTTCAGTTAAATGCTTTAGCTACATTACATGATGAAAAATGAAGTGCATTTTCAACATTTAGAATTATGGAAAAGACAGTAAAGATCTCCATACCAGTCTTTTATCCAGAACAGAAGTTTCTCCTTAATAATACTAAACTGCATGTGGTGGTGCATGTCTGTAATCCCAACAATCTGAGAGGCTGAGACAGGAGGATTCCAAGTCTAAACCAAGCATTAGTGAGACTCATTCTCAAAATAAAAGATAAAAAGCAGGGGATTTAGCTTGGTGAGAATGCGCCCATGTGCACGCAGGCAGACCCACTTACACATACCCCCACCAAACAAAATAATATCAACTGGTTTTCCACTAACCCTCATTCAGCCGCTTTTACATATGTGACTTCAGTGTGGAAAGCAGACTATGACACTGCTCAGTACCAGCAGTAGGCATTCCCCAAGTCTTGCATTATTCTTTTAATGATTTTTATGTCTGCTCATCCTCCACACAGAAGGCACAAAACAATGAGTGAAATTTACTTTTTAACAATTACAGCTCTGGAACTCCCATCTAAGCTTTGAAAATATATTTATCTACTGATTGTCTTTTAAGAATGTGAAGACAATTTTTACATTTCGTTCTCTAGTGAAAAATAAACCTAACCTTCTTTTTCTTTTTCTTTTTTTTGGTACCAGGGATCAAACTCACAACTTCATGCTTACCAGGCAGGCACTTATGATGCTGAGCTAAATCCCTGGCCCAACCTAACCATTTTAAAAAGTATGCTTTTTAGGGCCTCAAAGTGCCTGTTGGTAGTCAGGGTTTACAGGGGAATGGATTTAATGAAGGACACATAATTCATAGAATTACTTTATAATATTCACCAAAAGAGTCAAATGCCAGAAAAGTGCCAGAAATCTGTCCACACACTAGAGACCCAAAGAATCCAGCTGAGGGCCTGGATCCCATGGCAATGTTCTCCACAGGTCCACTTAGAGGCCTAAAGCCCAAGACAATCTCGCGTGCAAGTCTGTACCCAGGATCTGAACTGGGAAGGCCCAAAGGTCACTGGTGGATGCTAAAAAGTCTGCATTCAATTCAGCTGAGTTTTGCAAGTTGACGATTAGTTAATACACCCACAGTGCCCCTACATATTAACTAGCAAAACAGAACAAATAACCTTTATATGACCTGCCTAGCACATGGCAGGAGTACCAAGTCCATCTTTTGTCCCCTGAGCAAGCTATACTCCCCCCACCCCCTACCCTCACCCCAGGGTCTCACTGAGCAGCCTGTGTTACCATTAATCTCATGCTCCGAGTCTCAGACTCCGAAGCTTTGGGATTTAGATATGTTCCACCACACTTGGCTAAATTAAGTTTCTTAGAAAATAAAACCAAACAGACATGAAATAACCTCCCAGTAAGTGGCACAGCCATAATTTGTCTTACTTCAGACTAAGATAATACTTTAAATATTACTACTTTGAGTCTATAAATAAACATTATACTTCTGTTAAGACAGATCTTCCTCACCTTAAACATGTACAACTGAGCCCTTATAAATTTACTCCTAATTTCGTCAGAGCTATTACTTCAGCTGGTCCTCTTTCATTCTTTTGGTACTGGGGATTGAACCTAGGGAAGTGCTAAGCTACATTTTTATTTTGAGGTAAAGCTTTTTATTTTGAGATAAACTCTCACTGGGTTGCCAAGGCTGGCCTCCAAGTCACAATCCTTCTGTAGATAGTGATTAGCCTCCTGGGTGGCTCGGACTACAGGCACATGCCCCCACATCTGGCTTAAATCAGTTTTTAAGAACTCTGAATCTTAAGTGTCCTAAGATGTGGTGCCCACTTATTACTACACAGCTGGAGTTAATTTATTAACTTGAGACGCATGCTTCTTATATATTTAATAATAAAAAAAAGTACTAACCAAGCAAGGGCACGACCAGAGCCTAACAGCTTATTTTTAAAGATTTCTTTCTGGGCCCATAATATAGCTCAGCGGCACAGAACCAGCCTGGCAAGCATGAGGTTTTGAGTTCTATTCCTGGTACCAAACAAACAAACAAAAAACCCAACTCCCTCTAAGCTAATACTAGCTCATTAGTAAGTGTCTTTGGTTTAGTAATCTGAATGGCCACATTCGCCTAACTATATCTGATCCAAAATATTTACTTCCTGTGTCCATTAGGATGGAGAGATTATGTTTAGTGTCTTAAGGAACCCTAAACTGACTCATATTAGCAATCTCCTGCCTACTTGCAGGTGACTACAGGTGAATATGATTTGTGTTGCCTGACTTTTCCTTCCTGGAGCTCTGTTAGTTTAGGGAATCAGTTTTCCTTTCCTAAGTATTCAGAGACCTCTTTTTCAACTCTCCCAATATTCTAAAATCAGATCTTCAATAAACCCTTGCACCCAAGTCACATACTTGTTTTTCGTGAGAGCAGAGGTGTTTACCAGACTGCAGCCTTCTACCACTAGTCACCTTTAAGAGTCCTCAAAAACTATGAACAATGATTTTACAAATTTTTTTTGAAGACAGATTCTCACTGTGTATTCAGGCTAACCCTGAACTGGCTATGTAACCCAGAGTGGCCTGGAACTCACTGGGATCATTCTGCTTCTCAGTCTCCTGAGTACTTACAACTTCATAAACAATTATGCTGATAATTTATATGACCTTGAAAATATAAACTGAATTTAACCCACTTAGATATTCTTTATAATCTTATTTTGAACTCAATTCTTGGTTTTGTTTGTTCTTACCCAATTTTTGAGAAAACAAGCCAAAAACAGTTTCCTCTTAATACACTCAAGTGAATTCACTGGTTTCAAAATAATCTGACGGTAATCTCATTTTACAGACTGAAACTATTATGAATTTTTAAAATAACATTGAATTTTAGAAATGGCATTGAAAATTTAAGAACTTCATAAAGTTATGTTTATTGCTTGTTGGTGCAAACTACACTTTCAAAAAGGACCAAATGTAAAACATGACTTATAGGGAAATCAACTAGTATGTTTCAGTAATATATCACAATATAATCAAAATTAGAAAAAAGAAGGAACATCTCTAAAATTAAACATTAACAGTATTCACTGAAAAAAAAAAAGCCCTGGACAACTATTATATTTACAGTCAAAATTATTTAACAAGCAAGCACCCCGAGAACGCTAACAGTTTCAATCATATGTCTATCCACACTAATGACGCTATCATTCATCCATTGTCTCATTTGGCAATATAGAGTTTACTAAAGTTTAGTGTTCTAGGTGTCCAGGATCGAAAGCTCCTGGCTTTCATTTCCATCAGCATCATTCACAGAATCCTTGAAGAGCATCTAAAAGTGCAAAGCACCGTTAGGAACCTGTATAAAGCTACATCTATCGAGATACAGACACTACTCAGTTTGCCTTAAAAACATAAAAACGACAGCTTTTAAAAACTCGTTAACCCCAAATGACTTTGCGAGAATTCCCTTTAATTGACAACCCACATTTGGGGTGCGTTGCTGAGGCTACCTTGTGCAGACAACAGTTTTAAGAGTTTTTAGATGACCTCTTACGGCCCCACTCCCTAAAGAACAATCCCTGTAATAAGCTAAACTATCCAGCCAAGAAAGGACGGGTGAGGACGACGCCTGGGCAAGAACGAGCCTCATGCGGAAGTGCATTCTACTCTTTGCTAGTCTTACCCTTGGCACGGGGCTCTTCGTTCTCGAAGTCGGAGCACCGCAGACAAGGAACAGTTTCCAAAGTCTCAGGCCGCAACAACGTAGTAAAAGACACCCCAAGGAACGAATGGGAAGCCGGGGGAGGTCTCTGGCCGCGCGTGTGCCGGGACCCCGGCTTCCTTTCCCTTTCTGCGAGAAAGACTCCAAACCGTGGCTGCCCCCACTGCACCAGTTCTCGGGTTCGCCAGGACCCCCGCGCTACAGACCCTGTCCTGAAGCCCACTTCAGAGCCCTGCGTCGCCCGCTAAGTTCAACGTGCACCGTCGTCCGGCTAGCGGAGGGGGACGGAAACCGGAGCGCGAGATTCTTCCAAAGGACTGCGGTAGTCGCCCAAACCCCACTCCGACCTCCAGGTAAGTAGGAAGTGGGCGGCACCGCCCGTGGTCCGTCGGTCACTCACCCCACTCTTCAAACAAGCCCCTTAGCGACGTCTCTCCTTGCTGACCGCGGCCATCTTGGATGTGGAATGTCGGAGAACTACGTCATCACTCTGCGTCTTGCGACGAAAAACTAGAGCCAGGAGAGGCGGTTAGCATCGGGCACCTATCAACCAATCAGAAGAAAGTAGAGCTCTCAAAAGAGGAACTAGTTGTCTGTTTCCTTCCCGCCCACCGGTTGAGTCAGGGGCTGATGTGTGGAGTGGGAGGAGCCGGCTAAGGGTCTAGCCCGTCGGTCCCGCCACTCGCGACCAACCGAACCTGCTAACGGAACTTGGGCGCGGAGGCGTGGCCTAGGCTGCCCGTGGACCTATCAGAATTCGGGCGTGGGTGAAGCCCAGCCAATTGCAACCACGGAGCTGGCGGTCGAGTCAGCCGCTCTTGCCCCGGGAGCCGCGCGTCCAATGGTGGCTAAGGACCCGGAGCGGAACGGCGGCTGGGTGGCGGGCGGGGCCGCGCGCAGGCGTGCGAGGAGCAGGCCAATGAGCACCGGCGGCGGGCCCCGGGGGCGGGCCTTGGGGGGGACAGAGCCGGGTTGAGCCGCGGCGGCGGGGCCGTCTCAGGCCGCCGTCCCGCCCCTGCTGTCCCGCCCCTGCTGTCCGGCCGCTGCTGTCCGGCCGCTGCCACCACCACAGCCGCCGCCGCCACCGCCGCCGCCACCACCACCTAGGGGGTTGGTTGAGGCGGACGGTGGGGTCCGGGCTGGAGTGCAGCGCCGCCGCTGCGCGACAAGGAAGCGGGCAGGTGAGTTGCGGTGGCGGCGGAGGCACCCTCCCGCGCGGCCCGTGGAGACAGTGGCGTCGCGGTCTCCGGGCGCCGCGAGGCCGTCCCGCCCCCGGCCGGCAGCTCGCTCTCGAGTTGGGGTTGGGGCTGGGGCTCCGGCTCGCCCGCGGCGGGTAGTGCTCGAGCCCGCTGGGAGGCCCCGCTCGGCCTGCGCTCTCGCGGCTGGGGGGCGCCCGCGGGCCCTAGCGCAGGTGCAGGGAGCGGCGCGGCCCGGCCCGGAACCCTCGCGGGGCTCGGCGTGTGGCCGGGCGCGCTCGCTTCCTTCCTCCCCTCCGCCCGAGAAGCCGCGGCTTTCTGTTCCTCTTGCGCACACCCCAGACCTCGGGACCGGTCTGACCCTCTCCCCCCAGTGCCCAACTCTCCAACCCGTCGGTGAAAATAGGTCATCTTTCTTCCTACGCGCCCCTGGCCGTGGTCCACACGCGCAGTGCCCTGGGCGGGAGCTGGACCGAGCGCTTCAGAGTTTGCTCTTCCGGCCATGAAACTCCTCCTCCACCCGGCCTCAGCCCGGCCAAGAGGTCTGCGATCCCCGGTTTCCACCGGGAAAGAAGAGGCCCGGCCGGCGACGTGCGCCACTTGCTGCGGGGCCTCCCGGTCGGAGGCTGCCCGGCGCGCACTCACACTTCCGCGGAGCACGTTGTTTTGTTTTTTCTAAACGAAAGAGACGAGGTTTCCAAAGCGAAAATACTTACCAAGTGTGCTGACGGAGTGATTTTGCTTTTCAGAACCTGCTATGTGTTGAACCGTTCAGCGATGGCGCTGCTGAATCAGGGTGGTGGTTGTCAAAACTCACAGCACTGAGCGCTGAGAAGTGGGGATTTCAGCGTATGTAAAGGACACCTCTTCCTCTCCCACGTTCTCCGCAAAAATGATCCGAATAGTACTTCAAACTGGACCAACCAGTAGTCTGGGAATGATGTTTCCAACTTTCCTCTCGACCATCGAAATTTGCCCAGAGTTGATTGAACCGTGATACAGTGTCTCATAGGACCACTATGCACGGAGTTACCGCTGTGATTTCGGGAGTGAAAGATATCTGGGTGAAATTCGGACAATTTAGGAATGAGTTTTTCTCTGGTTTAAAAAAAAGTTTAGAAAGCTAAGTTCTTCCACAGCTACAGAACAACATTTTTCAGAACCCCAAGCGGCTTTTGGCCTCAGCTTCCCCTTTCTGCCCTCCCCCCTTTGTCCTCTGTGTGTTTAAGACGGGAAATTTCTGTCTGAAGTGGAGCCTAGTCTGAATGGAGTGAGAGGGTCGCTGCCTCTGGTCTCTCCTGGGGTTTGCCAGTGTCCCAGGGCAATGTTCCTGGAATGGGAACTATGTTGGGCTTGGAGGTTTCACCTGCATGTGGTGTAGGAATGAGAGTTTCTGTTCCTTTTCTGACTCATAAAAGCACAGTGAATTTGTCAGTGAGAAAGTAACGCTATCCACCTCCTCTTCCATGTCATGGTCATTTGGGTCACATTTTGATAAATCTTTGCTTTAGAAACCACTAGATAACTGAGGAAAACATGAACGTTGTTGTTAAATGTTTTCGCGTTCTAAGGTTCAACCACTGGAAGTGTTTTTAAGAGTTCTGATAGTCATGAAAATCTCCTAAAAACTTGATGTTCTCGTACCTCAAAAAGTGTGACAGAGATGGCAGCACTAGGGGCAGTACCAACACCAGCACATCAAGCCTTTGTTGTGGTAAAATTTGAGTAGACAATCTTGGAATTCACAGACAACCAGAGGCTTTTCTGGTGTATCCCCTGCAGATGCTTCTGCATGTGCTCAGGTGCCTGTGTAAGGTGGCACAGTGGTTTCCTATGACTGGTGAACCTCCTTCCATAGCTTTCAGTCATCTGTTGGTTACTTGTAGTATCTAATGCAGTGTCAGTACTTGCCATGTGCAACGTGTTTGTAGAGAACAATAATTAAAGCCCCAAAATGGTAAGTTCAGTACAGGTGAAATTTCCAAACATTTTGATCCACCCTTTGCATCTAGAACCCAAAGGTAAGGGCTGATAAGGAGGAGGCTGACTGCACATAGTTGGTGACATGTGGAGTTTTAGTAAAAAGAAGAGTTAAGACTACCGCTTCCCAGCAATTTAGTGTGAAGCTTTGTAGTCTCTCAGTGTTTGAATTACACAGTATGCTTTTCATTTTCTTTTCCCTTGTGACTGATAACACTGTATCATTATTGTGTGTCTTTCTCTGGAGGTTCTTTATCCTTAGAAACCGGTAGCCTCCTCCAGGCCGCGGGGCACTCCCTTCTTTGGAGGTGGCGAGGAACTTTCTAGCCAGGGAGTTTCCTCTTGGTGGACCAGAGTCCTGGGAATGGAGCCATGGTTGTGTTGCCCCAAAGATGCCTGAGAGAGGCTTAGTACTTGGTGTTAAATATCTTTTAACTCAATAGTGAAATACCTTTATTTTAATGTTACTTTGGGAGTTACTTACTTTCTCAACTCACCGTTTTATGGAACTTGTTTTTTGTTAGTGAAGAGTATTTTCTCTTGCTGCAGTCACAGAAGTATTTACATCTTGGATGCCAGTTCATTCTGATTGAGACTGACAGACCAAGGACTCCTTGCTTTTAAAATTTTCTGTGGCTTTCATTTTTACATCTGTAGTTATACCTTACTTGGTAAAATGGATTTATTTTTATTGCTTCATTTACCTATTCATAAAATTCAAGGTGTTATTTTGTATGGAGGTACTGATTTTATAGTATTTACTATCAAGGTAAAGATAAATTTCTAACCAAGTGTTAACTCACTTATTTTCCTATCATTTGGGTTTGTTTTTTTCTCTACATAGCCTTGTAGAGAAAAAAGTTAATTCAAAAATCTGCCATATCGAAAGCCTGCCTTTTGTTCTTGAATTCACTTAGTAACTCCAGCCAGAGATTAGATGTTACAGATCCCATTTCCATTTGGGAGTCTCCCATCAGGTTTTAGAAATAATGTCAGAAGTTACAAGCATAAATATTGATCATTTTTCAACCGAAATATATTTGAGTGAAGGAAGTGATTTCAAATTATTTTGAGTAAAATTCAAGTAGCAGTGTTAAGAATCTGAAATTCCCCTCCCCCCTTATTATGTTAAATACTTTCCAAGAAATAAATTACCAGTCAAGGTAAATACATGCCCTCCTGGCTGACAGGGAAGACAAAGCTCACTGGCAGCTTAAGATTTTGAAAAGAATCTGAGAGGCACTGATTACCAAGTCAGAGTGAAATTTTATCCTTTTCCAAGCCTCCGTCAGTACTGGGGTGGCAGGAGAGGATAGAGGGACAGAGCAGGAAGCACTGCAAATTGTTGAGAGAATATTGATAATCAGATGTCTGTAACAACTCTTTAATTTTTTTAAATTGACAGAAAACATATATACATAGAACTGAATAAATACTCTTATATTTTAGGTTTATTATTGTCTATGATCTTGAGTTTCACTTTCTGTTTTTTAAAGCATACTTCGACACGCAAAGTCTAGAAATGTTCTTGCAACTGAATGTTTAAAAAATCCGAATCTCAGCAGAAAGTAAGCGTGACTCTTTAATATCAGTGGCTTTTAGTAAGTGCAGTTAAGAGAAAGTGAAGAGTCATGTTGAAAAATACTCACTGAGTTGCTTTTCCTGTAAAGTACTTACCAGTAGCTTAAGTAGCTTGACAGTTTGTCACTTGTTGATTGTAGTAACTGAACGCTCTTGTGGTCACCTCGCTGCCTCTGCTGCTGTTTTCATCCTGACATGCAGGCCGTACCAAGACCTCGGTGAGGGACGTGCCTGGCTGGGGAAAGCTCCCCTGGAAGTTGCTCATGTCCCCAGTTTAACTGATGTTACTCCGTGTATTTGGACAAGGTGAGCAAAATTGCTCCAACCTTTTAACGGACTAGAGAGAGGAGACTTGCACCCATGGTGTGTTTTACTACTGCGATAGAGCGTTACTTTGAGTGTCAGAAATAACAGTTTTCTTTAGTCTTCATGAGAATCGTGGCTGGTTTTGAGCTTAATCTCTGACCTGCCATTAAATATCTGTAGAGTTTTTTTTTCAGTTGAATCTATCCTCATGTATAAATTAACCTAAGCATCAGTTTTCTCATCTGTAAAGCTGCCATAAGGATATTTATCTTCTCTGATGTGTAACCTGCTGACCTTGTTTTGTTTTTTTTTTTTTGGTCTTGTTCGTTTTTTATCGGTACCAGGGATCGAACTCACAACTGCCTGCTTACAAGGCAGGCACTTATGCCTCTGAGTTAAATCCCCAGCCCCCTCACCTTGGTTCTTGACGCATAGCCCACATGATGCACTGTGTTGGGGAACTGTCAGTATGTGGCAGGGGTGACACAGCTCCGGCATCCTGATAATCCCAAAGCAAACCTGACGGTGATCATGAATAGCTGCATTAGAAACCCAGGTGCTCAAGACGGCGTATCTTTTATGTGACAGCTTTTGTGAATTCCACCATGTAATGCCACATTCAGCTTTGCAGTTTAGATTGGGTATTCTGGAACTGCACGGCACATATGAACCGAGTAGGTGTTAAGTTCCAGGAAGGCAGGAGGCCCATGGATTGTGCCCCTGTCAGAGCACGTTTTTAGGGCCTTGTTGACACCCTGAGAACTGCCCACTGAATTGAAGTGCAGTGTTCCAACTGGTTGTGTTCACTTGTGCCATGTGTGTTGTGAGGAGCGTATTAGCCGTGGAGTAGAGAAGACCTTGGGGAGGACATGATGGCTGTCCTCAGTATGGAGAGGTCAGGGAGCACGGGGTGGCTCCCAGGTACCCAGTGCCGGTACCAGAGTATCAGGAAGGTCACCCAGCAGAGCTGCTCACCACTCACTGTAAGTTAGAAGCTTCAGGTCTGGTTCTCAGCTCTACCTCACCCTTGTGTTTGCCAGCCAGAGATAACCCTGAGGAGGCAAGACAAAGTGTCTTCACACTTGGATTAGGCAGAGGACATAAAATTGTAACTGCTATATAATGTCGCATGCCTTTGTGTGACGCGTGGGCTTGTGGTTAAAAGTAGATTACTCCAGAGGTCTCTTCCAATCCTGATGCTGTGTGGTTCTAGGATCTAGAATCCTGGTGCCAGGAGTGTGAGGGGTTTGGAAGTAATTTACCAGATTACAGCTGTTCCTTTGCTTTACCGCTGTCTTGTTTATTTTAGAGGGATATAATAGGATTTTTCATGATACCAAATGAGTCATTGATTTATAACAGTTTTTTTTTCTTCCTTTTCTTTTTTGGGAGGAGGGGAGAAGCAATTTCCTAGAGTAGGAGCCTCATTTTTGGACAGGAATACTATTATTTCTTTATTTGGAGGAATGGTACAAATTGAAGAACATAAATGGATATTTTGGTGCAATTTATAGAAAGGATACAGGTAACCCCAACATGCATGTGCTGCCTTTGTGATTGGGGAAGTCTCTTGGGGTTACAGGATGTTGGCCTAAGACTTATAAGCATGTTCCCTATTTTTCTGACACAGAGAGTGGGGAGGCTCTCTGTGTCACTCCCGCAAGCGCATGCAGCAGCTTGCTGCCAGAGTTGGTAGGATGCCTGCGCCTGCTGCCTCCTTCAGTGGTGCAGCTGTGGAGTGGGGTCCCCGTGAGCTACGTTGCCACACAGATGCGGGCCTGAGCTAGGGCTTCCTGAGTAAATTGCTAAATAAGTGCAATCATAAATGGTTATTTCAGTTGTATTGGTGGAAAGCAGCATTTTCGGGAAAAGCTGATTACGTATGTGTATGTATATATAGCAAAGTACAAACGTGTATCCTTTCCATGTAGAATTTTTTTGAAGAAAAAACCTTACAACTGAATTCTATTATATTCAGTATGCATGTACTCTGCTTTGTAAAATGAGGTAAGTATCTGGCAGCCTCTCCCTTCCCCATTAGCCATGGTCTCCAAATGTGCTTCATTTTACTTCTCCTGGTGTATATAGTCCACTGTAGAGATTCATGGAAAAGAATTACTTCATTGGTCAAAGGTGATTGTTGGTTAAGATACTCATGAGTATCAGTTGGTGATTTAATAATTGAATATGTTTTGTATCTCATTGTCTGTTAGGTGGAAAGAATGTTCATGGACTTGATAAGTTTATAGGGCTTTAAAGGACCAGCGTTTGAGAATCCTATAGATCTTTAAAGATGTAGAGAAGTTTGGTGGTGAAGAAGAGGAGATGTGAGAAACTGTTAGCTCGCAAGGGCTTTACACGAGCCGTTTTCTGAGAATGGCTCTGGCATTGTTCAGTCCATTTGTCTGTCAGTCCTGTAGTGCTTCATGCTTTCTTCTGTTTTAGATCCTTAGGTAAAACATGCTTTCTTTCTTATTTAAATCCTCCCCCTCTCCCCCCGCCACCTGTATCTCTGTTTTCTCCTATTCAGTATTTGTAAATCATACTTACTTTCAATCTAAACTTTGGAGGAATCTGTCTTTTACTTAGCTTCAAACTTTCTAGCTAACATTCGTAATGTAATGAGAGAGAGAAGGAAGCAGAGACCCATGTATTTAGGTTAGCATGTATTTACGTTTTCCTTATTTAAATATTTGTGATAAATATTGGCTATAAACGTTTGGTCTTTGTGACCTTGATGAATGCTTAATGGGTAGGCCCTTTTTTACTGGGAGCATTAAGGCTGTGAATTAAATCTGTATCTGTCTGACTGATGTACTAAAACCTGGAATCTAGCCTCCAAGTCAGCTAGAAATCACAATGAAAATTATTCATTCTGTGTAAAAAATTTTTGGTCACAAGTGACCAAAAACTCCCTCTCTTGCTCTCATTACATTACGAATGTTAGCGAGAAGGTGTGAGGCTAAGTAAAAGATCTTTTCCTCCAAAGTTTAGATTGAAAGTAAGTGTGATTCACAAATACTGAATAGGAGAAGGGTAGGTTATTTTAAGTCCCTAAGGTTAGGGAAGTCACACACATACATTTTTTTCTTTTGCTAGCTATAAAAGACAGAGGAGGTTGTATTTAGCAAACCACCCACACCTGGTATTAGCACCTTACCAAACTGCCCAGAGAAATGTAGTCATCCTCTTTCAACAGTACTTTAGACTTTGCCCTTCTATGTTTAGTTACTTGTGTATTTCAGGAATTGTCTATGCTGCTTTATTTTGGATGGTACACTTGGTTTCCCAGCCTTGACTCTGGGGTCCACAGGTGTGGCTTTTTCTAATTTCGTTGTTGTCTCCAACAGCTGGCGTTGTCCTAGGTACGGATACAATGGAGAGCTTGTTTCTGGGCGTGTGCCCACGTTAGGAGACTGCCTTTGTGCTGCAACGAACCCCAGCTTTCATGTCCGGAGCTGTGGGACTACTGTTTGGTGCTCTGGTGTCTTGGCCGAGCCATAGCTCTCTAAGCCGTCTGATAGCGGCATCCTCACTGCCAGGTTCAGTGGGCTGGGTGGGCACACCGAGAGACAGCGTGCAGGTGGTGCTGGTGGCGCTGGTCCCAGAGGTCGTGCTTGGCCATCGGTCCCCTTTTTCCATCAGAAGTGGACTCCGTCAGTCATGCTTTGCTGCTCCATTCCGACTGACTTAGACACTTGGAGTGTTTTTCAGTTTCTATTGTTGCATTTAATATTCTGAAACTTTTCCATGTTGTAAACTATGGATTTTAGAAAGAAATGCTTTTTAAGTGTGATACCGTGTAAGGTTAACTCTGACCCTCATCCTTGATCCACATGGCATGGCTAACCTGTCTGCCTTGCTCCCTTTGGATATACTTGTATTTTTACTTTAACAGTTGTCCTAGTTTTTCAGCAGAGCTAGTTACATATTAAGTCAGTGTCTTGTTTTGACTTCTAGTGGGACAAAAATTGCTAACCCTAACATACCGGAACTTGCTACCCAGGTTCTTCATTCAGCAGATATTTGACCATGTCACTGTGCTCAACTTGGCAGGTAATGGAGAGGTGGTAGCATTGGTTTCTTTCTGCACAGGACAGCAGGCCAGGTCAGCACACAGATAGTCTAGACCAGTGAAGGTGAGCTCACCGAGGCCTGGGGCTGGGCTCTGGGCTGTGGGGAGGAGACTAGGTGAGGCTGAGGACTCCTGACACTCCTGGAGAGGGGTAAGGACATCCAGGCCAAAGAGTGAGAGTGACAGTAGGCCCCGGGGGCTGAGCTAGGGCAGGCTGAGTGTGAGGAGCGGCTGGGCGTACAAAGCCTAATGCTGTGTAGAGAGAAAAAACACATGTCAGGCCTTTCCTTCAAGTGCCCTACGTTAGGGATGCCCATCCAATACCAGGATGCCAAATCATATTGAGGCACAGGAACCCTACAGACATGGGTGGCTATAAGTTTAGAGGCACATCTGCTGCACGATCAGACTGCAGAGAAATTGCTGCCCTCTGGAGGCAGAAGTCTTTGTGTTTTTTTTTTTTGTGGGAGACAGGATCTTACTAAGTAGTCTGTGCTGGCCTTGAACTACCTTTGTAGTCCAGGCTGGCCTCAAATTTGCGGTGATCCTCTTGCTTTACCCTCATGAACACTGGGATTACAGGCGTGCACTAGCACATGCAGCTCAGAGACTAAATTTCAAAGTAAATATAAAGGCTAAGCCATGTGCCCCTGGCTGCGTAGATTCAGTGCAAGGCCTTGAGACCTTAGGCAGCTCCTGGCAATAACATAAGGACAGGGAACCCTCTTTCCCTGCCTAGGAGGGAGGATCTCTGCCTAAAGCAAGGCCAGTCACTTCTCTTGCGCCTGTGTCCCTTCCCACGGCTCTGAAAAGATTGGTTCCCAGGATGAGCCAAGCCTTTGGTCTCTGTTAATGCCCTTGAATCTGACTTTCATGGGCGTGGAGGCTACAAAGAAGACCCTAGGGCCACAAGAGACTTTTTGGTGGGGTCTCAAAGTATGTGAACAATTTTGGTAGGAGGAGAATTTAGCTGGGGGTGGCTTCACGGCAGGAACAGGGAGGTGCCTGGGTCCCCAGAGCTGCCTCATGCAGGGGCTGGGTGGAAGAAAGCAGAGCGGGTAAGTGTAGGGCGAGGCTTTGCTAGGGCGATCAGGGTTACCCCGTGAGCTGTGGAAGAGCAGTGCGTGCGTGCAGGAAGCCTGCCCAGTGTCCGATTCCATCTGGGTGAAGTTCAAGTAAAGGTGACCACAGAAGTCAAGGGAATGGTTACTGGGAGGTGGCTCTGTCTTGGGGAAGACTTGAGGCAGGGTGCCACGTGCCAGCTGTGCCATTGCCCTACCGCGAGGTGGCCTTGTGGTCACACAGAAGCCTGGCTTTGTGTATGTTGTTGGGGGCAGTGCTGCAGGGTAGGAGGTTGGAGGCCAGGAAGGGGGATGGAAGGAGTTGAAGGAGCAAGCAGAGGGAGCGTCCGGGAGTGGCTTCACTTACTGAAAGCATGGCCCACGGGGCTTTTGAAGATGGCATTCCGGGGTGTCTGCTCTCCCCAGGCTGACTTACTGATGTGTTTTGAAGTTTCATCGCTGTCATATTTCCACACTTATTACTGTATGTAGAAGCCGGCAATTTTCTGACTGACGAGGAAGGAAATCTTAAGGATGATTTGAATTGTCAGGCTTCACCTGTAGGAGCACAACTGCCAAAGGGTTTGTGTTGTGCTTTCAAAGCACTGCGACTGTGTATCTAGCAGGGCCCCACCCAGAGCTGGAGTGATGTCTTTTATATGTTTCAAGGGCCAGGAACTTTAGTAGAAGCTTTAGAAGCATAGATTTGGACCTGAGCTGAGAACAGACCAGGTGTTCTCCCCTGGAAGCTCAGGGTAGTGTCCCCATGACCTGCTCTGTGCCGAGCGCTGGGCTAGAGGTCGGGGGCTCGGAATGTAAGTAAGACTGAAAGGGCGCCTCGGGGAGCCTTTCACTGGGGGCCTGGTGTGTGAGCCAGGTTTTCAGTGCAGCAGGGTCCAGCAGTGATCAAAAGACATACAAGAAATTCCAAGGGAGCAAATGAGAGGTGACGGTGGCTAGGAAGACAGGAGTCCTTAGCTGGTTGTCTAGGTAGGGTTTCTGCAAGAACTGCAATTTGCTAACATCTGACCCAAGAGTGGAGAAGGCACAGGAGGGCAGATGTGACGAGCTGCTGGATGCCAGGGGCCTTCCTGGAGCACAGGTGCTGGAGGGGGACACGCATGAGCCATGCAGCAGGGTCTCAGCAGGGCGGGTGTGGGAGGAGGCTGGTGGTGTTGCCCAGCATCACAGGCCTGTGCGGAAGCCTTTTGGTCCCCTGAACCCTGCAACGCTGCATGCTTCCTGTGTAGCTAGGCAGGGTGGTTTGGTGCTGAGTTCAGATCCTAGCTCTTTCTCTTACCTGACGACAGGGAGAAAGGCCCTAACCTTTCTGCAGATGTCCCTTAAGTGCTGAGGATTATACAGACTGCTCCTAGTGTCTGCGTTGGATTTCTCCTGCTGCCTGGCAGAGGGCAGGCACTAAATAGCAGCTGCCACTGCTGCCTTTATGACTGACTGGAGTTGGGCAGCTGCCAGGAAAGACTGAGATGGGAGGGGCTCAGCCTGGGGGGACGGTACCCAGAGCAGCCTGTCTACAGAGCTGACAGGTCCTTCCTGTTGGGGAAAGGTGGCAGCCTCAGACACCTGGTCCAAAGCGCCCATCTCGAGTGACCTGGAGCCATGAGGACCCCACAGGACAGAAGGCTGCGCCAGCAGGGCTGAAGGGAGAGGCCCGGAGAGCTTTCCTGACAGTGTGTTCTGTCTTTCTTCCTGCCAGGCCAGCAGATTTGCTATATTTGGAAATGATTAAGGTCCTTATGCCAGGCTCCTTGGTGCCTTTGGCTATTTTCAGATGGAGTTCAGTGGTCCTCCAAGGAGATGCCCGGCAGGGCAGGAGGGCTGCGCTGTGGAGGAGGCGGGCTGTCCACCCTGCGGTGACTGGCCTCAGCTGAGGGAGATGGGGAGGGAGGACTCTTCCGTGTACCCAGAGCTGCGCCCTGCCTCTTCTCTCCTTACTTTCTTTGCCTTTGGTTGCAAAACTACTGATTCCTTTTACTTCTGTAATAGTTTCAAGGATCTTTCAAGTATCTTCCCTGGTACCTTTCCATTCTGGGATGCCTGATACTGTGTACTGCACACGCTTAGAAGGCGTATTAGCGCAGTTACACGCTGGCCCTTTATAGATCGGATACAGAAGGGAAGATGCACATCTCGGTGAGGAGTGCCTTCCCCATTATGTCAGCATGTGGCTTTGGGCGATGCTTTATTCCCTGTGGAATCAGGGATCCTTTCTGGGAATGAGAGAAGATGTCCTGCAAACCTTCTGTCCTGGCCATGCCTCCCTGCTCTAACAGTCACTTCTTTTTTGGTGCTAGGCTTGAACTCAGGGCCTCACACATGCTGAGCACACACACACTGCCACTGGGTTCCACTGCACACTGCCCTCAGCTGTTTTTTGGTAACAAACCAATTGGCCGGTGTATGTTCTGTGGTTCTCCTAAGGTCATGTGTGGTTCACTGGCCAGGGCTCTAGGCAGACGTCACTGGGTGTCTTGCTTTGCAAGCTGTACAGCTTTTGGCTGGACTCTGTCTGTCCATCCTCCTGGGCTGCCCTCCTAATGCTCTGCTGTCCAGGGGGTCAGAGCCCCACTCCAGGCCCCATGCCTGCTCTCCGCTTCCCCGGGGGCCAGCTCTCTTCACTGTGCCTTCTTAGCACTTCTCTAGTTCTGTCCGAGCCCTCGCATTGCTTGGCCCTTTCTGCACACATCCAAGCTCCCTCCTTTGAGTCGGGCATCACGGTACAGAGGCCTTTACCCAGCATACTGTGGTTTGCCCTGTGTGGCACTGTCTCATTTACCTGTCGGTACTGGGGTCATTTCTCAGGGCCAGTGAACAAAATACACAAGTGATGTGTGTCGTCGGCCTTCTGGTAAAGCTCTGCGCAAGACACTCGGGATTCTCCTGGGGACACCATGCTGCACTTCAGATGATCTCTCTCAAGTCTTCAGCCATTATTCTAGCACTCGGTCTTGTGCATGGATTCAATGCCAAGGAATCAGTGGTCTTTTTTGGCGTGAGAGAATACGCATCTAAACCTTTTGTCCAGAAAGTCTAATTTGCAGCTTGGGATGCAGTTCCTGCAAGTGGGAAAAGATTCTTTCAAAGGAAAGTGGGCGGAAAGCATCTGTGTCTGCTTTTGTGATCGTGTGTATGTATCTTGTGTGTGCCTCACGGCTATGCCTGTAGTGTTGTGGAATAAACATGTAGTTTGCACAATAAAATCTATGTGGTTAAAATATTCTAGGGTAAAATTTTCTTACAATATTTTAAGTGGAAAAAAGTGAACTTTTATTTCAGAGACTGACGTGCAGATTTTTATTTTTACATTTCCTATCTGAGATCCTTTAAATCCTAATAACAGGTGTTTCTTTTTCTGGAAAACTTCAGGACATAGACAAGGACTTAGCATCTCATGATGAGGACACTGACATGCCACATTTTATTACTCGGTTTCAATCCTTGGTTATGTAATTTCTTTTCTTTTCTCTCTTCTTATAGTCAGAAAATGGGTAAGAAGAGTCGAGTAAAAACTCAGAAATCAGGTACTGGGGCTACAGCCAGTGTGTCTCCAAAGGAAATCCTGAACCTGACCAGTGAACTGCTACAGAGTAAGTGCTGCTGCTGCCCCTGCTGCCCGTGTGTGGGGAGCCCAGCTTGCTCCCGGCCCCTACATCCCCCTCTGTAAAGATGGGGACGCTGCCACCTATGCGGCCATGTGACTGTCAGCCCGTGGGGAGGCGTCCTCTAGGCTTCTGGGGCTCAAAACAGGTTCCACTTGTTGGCAGTGTGGGCTCAGCCCCTCTGAGGTTCTGTTCTCGTCAGCAAACGTCACTGACTGTCCCTGGGACAGGGCGGGCAGGAGCTCTGCGGTGATAAGGCGGCACGCTGGCCAGGGAGTCCCACGGCCTGGGGGTGGAGTGGGGAGCAGCCTTCCAGGGTGGCTCCCCTGTGTCTCAAGGGTTATGTGATGGTAATCGGATTTCACATGCCATGTCGGTGTCCGAGAGCTCCTGCTTCAAGGAAGTGAGGTAAGTGCCCATGCTTCCTCTGGTCAGTGGGACTTGGTAACTTCTGAATATCCTGAATGTAAATTGATACTGTTGAGCCCCATTCACCTTTGCCTCTGTGTTCAGCTTGTGTGACAGCTAAACCCCCAATCAAAGTTTAGCTTTTCTTTCCTGACAGAAAGCAGGCCACAGTCAAGTCAGGGCCAGGTCATGGCCCCTGTGGCCCCCCTGGCCCCTGCAGAGCTCAGCTGCCCTTACCTCCCCCATCATCTGCCACCTGCCTGCCTGTAGGCAGCTTTGCAGCAGGGCCTCGGGCAGGGCTCCTGGAGGAAGAATGAAGTCAGACTGGTTAACCCGAAAGCTGGGGTCAGCCGGGTCCTGCTCACTCAGTGTTACATGCAGAGATTCACAAAGCAATAATGTGGGAACCAGAGTTCCGAACCTTCAAAAAGCTGATTTCCCAGCTGGCAGGAGAAGCATCTTGTCCCCTAGGCTGAGCTGAAGGTGATGGCAAGAGGAGAGAGAAAGGTGGCTGGCTCACTGTTAATCATTGGCCTCAGAGGGCAGAGGGAGGCAGGTGCTCGGAAGGGTTCCCTCTAGAATCTGAGTGAGGCTTACGAAGGAAGGAGCCCTGGCCACCCGCACTTCAGAGCAGCCAGCCCTCTCTTGGTTCTGGTCCTACAGTAGGAGCTCAGCTTCTTGCGTCCGTTCCATCTCTTGAACTCCCCCAGAGTGCTCACTATAGTGCAGGACACATGTTTGTGACATGTTTGTTGACTAATTATCTTCGTGGCCAATTCAGCTGGTTTCCTTAGGGAGTCACTGTTAAGGTACTTACCTAAAAAGGTGACCTTCTGTTTACTTGGGGAAGTATTTCATTTTAGCTCAGCGGTTGGATTTTACTTGTTCACAAGTATATTCTGAGGAGGAGCAGCAGGAACAGGCTGGGTGGGAGCTAGGTCCTCCCACGGGCAGATGGGGCCGTGTCGCAGGCTAACATGGGCACTGGCAGGCTTCTGAGGGCTCGTGTGCTTGGAAAAGTGTGCCTGTTTGATGCTTACACAGCGCCTGTTCACTGTCTAGGCGGAGGTAACTCTGTCCTTTAAACAGAAGCACAAAACCCAAACCCTCTTGGTGCCGACTGGCATGTCGGGCTGAGGCAGGAGGGTTTCATGCCATGGCACTTCTGTTACAGAATGTAGCAGTCCTGCACCCAGCCCTGGGAAAGAATGGGAAGAGTATGTGCAGATCCGGTCTCTGGTGGAGAAAATACGGAAAAAGCAAAAAGGTAAAGTTACAATGACTTAATTTGAACACTGTCATGTGGCATCTTGGCCCGGGTCAGGGTTTTGAGAGTAGGAGGGGCTCAGCTGGTTGGCGCCAGTCTGTGGAAAGGTTCCTGGGCCGGGGGAGAGATGTCCCGGGAGACCGTTGGGACCATGCCCATTTCTGAGACCAAAGGGTGAAAGTTTTGAGTGTAAGGGAAAATGTTCACATGGGATGGGGGCACTGAACTTTGTTGATTTATATTTTATGAAATATTTGTTTAAATCTTGTTTTCATGCTGCGTTTCCTTAGCATTTGGGGACAGTACATAGTACTGTCTGGTCAGCACACAGATCTGTGCTGCTTGGCTGCGAATGGTCCCGAGTTTGTGATTAACTCCAGCCTGTCTTGGTTAGCTCCGACACGGAGTTATACTGCTTCAGGGTGCAGTTCTCGGCCATCTCGCCGACCCTCAGCCAGCCTGGCAGCAGAGCCCAGTGTGGCTCTGCAAGGCTCCCTCGGGATGCCCACTGTTTCTGCCCTCTAAGCGTGAAGAGTGAGATTGGTGTGCAGAGCCGCATGGAAGCTGGGTCAGCGTCAGACGGGGAGCCTTCCGGATGCCCCTTCTTACCGTCCTGAGAGGGAGTCGGGGTGCCGTTTTCGTGTGTCTCCTGACCTAGAGGTCTATGCTGTGTGCACACATCTGTAACCTCGGAGTCCTCAGCGTGGAGGGTCTCAGCCCCCCAGGGCCGGGCAGCTTCCTTTATGAGGTGTTCCTTTGCCAGCCTTTCTGCTTGCCTGGGCCCCGCTGAGAGAGGCAGAATCATCATGGGCCACAGATAAAGATGTAATGTAGTTGTATAGGAGTAACAGATTTTTTAATTTTTTCTATTTGTTATAGCATTTATTTTTTTTGAAAAAGGCAAGCAGTCTGTGGGCCGCAGTTCAGACATGCATGTAGTCGGTTGTAGCCCAGGGTAACCCTCTCACAAGATAGGCAACCAAAAATGTGTGTCTATTCCAATTTCTCTTCCAAGTAGACAGTATTTCCCAAGGCTGACACCAAACTTAGAGCGTTCATTAATTTCGCTGAGGTAAACACAAATGACTCTGGCTCCATCTCCAGCAGTGTCTCTGCACATCTTGCTTGACACAGCGGGGTCCCGGGCGCTTTTTCCACATTCAGGAGCTGCCTGGTCCTCGCCTATAATGGTCAGGACATGGTGGGTTTTCCATGCGTGGCCATGTTTCAGACATGCCGAAAAGTCTAGAATAGACAGTGCGACACTCGCCTGAGCATGTCCTGCACAAGCCCACGCCGGACTGGCTTCTATTGCCCTGTCCGTCTTTTCTGCGTGCTCCTCTCCTGCTCGCCCTCCCTCAGTCCTGCATGGGTGTGGGGGTTGTGTCCCAGGAGTGAGGGCACAGAGGGGGCTGCAGCCCCGGCCCCTTCTCAGCACCCCCCTCCCGGAACTTTCATCCTCTTGTGAGTGCTTTTCTCCTCTGTGCATTACCTCCAAGCACCACCAAGACAAACAATGGCCACGTGAGCATGTTTTACAGATTTACACCGTGTCACACCTACTTGACGATTTTTTAAGGTCAAGAGTAGCAAAATTCATTGACGAAAAGCAGCGGGGCACGGCGTGGGGAATAGGAGCAGCTCCTGAGAGACAGGTGGGGCCCGGGCGGTGGCCCTGACTTCGTAGCGCAGTTATGGGGTGTCTGCTCACCTCAGTTCCTGGCGGTCTGACCGTGTAAGCTGCTCTGAAGCTCCTGAGAGCTCTGAGCGGCAGGGCTGTGGCGCTTGTCATGCCATCCCAGGTCTCCAGGGCCCGATGACGAGTGGTGCCTTGCTTTCCGTGGGAGTCTGGTCAGGCCGTGTGAATCCGAGAGCTGGTGCCTGAGTCGGGGCGGGGAAGCTGCCTTGTAAAGCAGGCGTAGCGGCGCTGGCGGCTTTGTCCCCTGGCCAGCGCAGTGCCCGACAGTGCTCACGGTGCATGTAGCGCCTAGGAAGTACCGAGGCGTAGCTCCCTGTCACCTCAGGGAGCAGAGGCTTTAACACGCCTTCCTGGAGCGTGCCGAGGTATGTACTTGAGAGCCTGCTGGTTACATTTGCTGCTTTCCCCAGCGGAGCGCTAGGGCTAGTCCCGTGTGAGTGTGCTCTGCTTTCATTTTCTGGGAGCTCTGTGAATGACATGTGTCCTAAAAGTAGCTCTTGTTTTCCAAACATGGATAATATAGGTCTGTCTGTTACTTTTGATGGAAAAAGAGAAGATTACTTTCCTGATCTAATGAAATGGGCCTCTGAAAATGGGGCCTCTGTCGAGGGTTTTGAAATGGTTAACTTCAAAGAAGAGGGCTTTGGTTTGAGAGCAACAAGAGACATCAAGGTGAGTTTGTACGCGGTTAGTCCGAGGGGGCTGCGTGTGCTTGAGGCGTGGCGAGGTGTCGAGGGCTGCTTGTGGGGCAGACGCCTGGGCCCCGTGGCAGAGGGCAGGGGGCCCGCCAAGGGCCCACAGCCCTGCCAGCCTGGCCTCGGGGAGCTGCCTGCTAGCCTGGCTGGCTCCCCCTCCAGGCTCTGCATGCCGAGGGCTCCCGTCTGGGTGGGAGGGTGGTGTGAGAGCCCTCAGCCTGCCCTCAGTGCCAGTTCAGAGTAGGGACCAGGCCTCTGCTGAGAGAGGTGCTGCGGCCATGCTGGGGCTTCCCGCCTTCCTCCCGGGGGAGCAGTGGACCTTCCCTGCCACGTCTGCCCCTTGCCGCTGCCTCCCCCAGGAGGAAAGCCCGAGCCAGTGATGAGTCTGGGGGAGGGCCGTGGGCCCTGCAGCCTCCGGAGGGAGCTGGTTGCTCTCTCCTCCACCTGTGGCTGCAGTGGGGCGGTCCCTGGGAGCCAGCGCTGTGGAGCTGGAGGAGGCTGCCAGCTGGTCTGGGTGCAGTAGGTGACCTCCTGTGGACTAGCTCTCCCTTGGTTGGTTCAGAGCAGAGCTGGAGAGAGTGGCCAGGTAGAGAGAGTGGGCGCTGTCTGGGCCCCTTCGCCTCCAGCGTTGCTAGTGAATGCAGTCAGCCTCCTGCCGATACACTGCTGTGTCTGTGTCTTCCCTGTATCCTTACACCAGACTTCTTCCTTCGTGGTGCTTCTCATCTGTAGTAAGTGACATGACATATAAAAATGATTGAACCAGTAGGCCTTAGCAAAGGCAAGATGTCACCTGTTCCTAGCTCTTGGCAGGCCAGGGACAGCTTAGCTGTGTGGTCCCTCTCACCTGTGCGCTTTGCCCCGGGTGGGACTGGGAAGCTAAGACTCAGTGCCAGCTCGGGCTACTTCCCTTGGAGGCCTTTTGTCTTGGTGCTGCGTCCCCGTGTGGCCGAGAGCTATGTGTGTGAGGCGGAGCAGTTCGATTGCCGGGGAGCATGCCGAAAGAGCTCTCACATGGCCAGACGAGCACACGGCCTTGGGAGAAAGGTGCGGGAGTCCGAGCCCCCAGTGTGGCCCGTGCAGGCGGGACGGCCAGGGAGGGCGTCCCTGTGGCTTCCGCGCCTCCGCAGTGGGAGCAGTTCCCGTGGACAGACTGTGACTTATGCTGGGGGTAGCAATTGTTTTGCTTTGTTTTTAGAATTTAGAATACAAAGAACAGTCTTTGTGTGATACTCCAGATATTACTAAATTTGCTTCTAATTCAAGTAGAAAGTCCCTTTTATATTATCTACCTTCTCAGTATAGTTATCCAGTGTATACAGTTTTTCAGTTTTTCTACTGGAAATAGAAGTTTAAACTATGCTTCTGCTAAAATAATATGTTAATATAAATGCTTACATTTTAAAATAGATTTGATACTTAGAAAATACTTGCTGATAATGGAACTGTGAGTTGTGTTTTGTCTGTGGTTGAATTTCTGATTATAGGATAGGATTGAAGATTGTAACATGTTTTGATGATTCTATAGTTTTCTTTTTTTTTTCCCCTCTAGGCAGAAGAATTATTTTTATGGGTTCCACGAAAGTTACTAATGACTGTTGAATCTGCTAAAAATTCAATATTGGGTGAGAATAATTTCCGAGTGTTCAAGGCAAATTATAAATGATAAAACTGTAAAATTCCATTTTTGATGCTAAGTCCTATATTTAGTTAGTTGTTTACACAACTGGTGAAATAGTCCCTCAAATATACATTAAATACTTTCCATTTTATGTCTAAATAAAAATGCAGATGACTTTGTTACCAGACCTTTTAGTTTTTCCTACAATTTTAGTGTATGTTTTGAGTGACTGCTTTTTAAGGAAGTCTGTGGAGCTAACACTGCCAACTTCTGGGTTCATTCAGGGCCCTTGTATTCTCAAGACCGAATTCTTCAAGCCATGGGAAACATTGCTCTGGCCTTTCACCTGCTGTGTGAGCGAGCCAACCCCAACTCTTTCTGGCTGCCCTACATTCAGACCCTTCCCAGTGAATACGACACCCCTCTCTACTTTGAGGAGGAGGAAGTGCAGTGTCTGCAGTCCACACAAGCTATCCACGATGTCTTCAGCCAGTATAAAAACACAGCTCGCCAGTATGCCTATTTCTACAAAGTCATCCAGGTGAGTGGGGTGCGGGCACAAGGGGGCAGATTGCATGTGTGTGCCCTTGGTGATAATTTAGTAAATCGTAAAAATTTGTTTCTCAGAGTGTACTGTGTTATTTGCATTAATTCTGTGTGCAAGTGTCACAGGAAAGTCTCGAGACAGTCGTGATGGTTTGAGCTTACATGCTCACGCCTGCCCGGATTTTGGCGGTTCAGCCTCTCTGAGCTTGCATTTCTAGTCATCAGCAGAGGGGGAGGTCTCCCTCGGCCAGCTCCCAGCTTCCACGGAGCTGGGGTGGTCTGCCTTCCCAGGGCTCAGGAATGGGCCCCTGGGCCACTGTGCCTGGTCCATGGCTGAGAGGTGGCTGCTTGCCACCTGTCCCTTTCCCTGGGCAACGTGACAGCTTGAGTCATGCCGTTGAGATTGTTTCTTAAAGGACCCATTGCTGCTGTGCTTCGCTGCAAGAAGCACAGATCATCTCATTGCTCCGAGCAGTACCGTTTCCCATTTATTGTTTTAACTTTGCAGCACGCTTACGGCACACGAATGTCACTCTCAGTGATGCTTAGAATGCTTGCTCCCAGCCAAATGCTTCAAGTGCAAGGCGACTCTTGTTCTCCAGTAGAACTCACTCTGCTTTTCTAGCCCTTGGACAGTACAAAATCGTTAAGAGTGATCAGAGTGTATACCTAGCTCTTGATTTAGGTTTGCTTAATTGAAAAGCTGTTGACAGAGCCAAGTCAGAACTTTGCATCTTCATGTAGTAGACACTGTGGCCCTGTGGTCTCAGGTCTGCTGTGTCTCTTGGTGACCACAAAGGGCTGTGCTGTCTTAGCTGCCATGGAAAGCTGACTGGCAGGTCTGTGTTTTTGTTGTTGCCCATTGTTGGGCAACAGACTGCAAATGAGCTCTTCTCACTGATGGGTTTCTCAAATCTGAGCTGTTAGGAGTTGGTAGTTGCTTGTAGCCTCCCCTGAGAGGAGCTGGCCTCTCTTATCAGGCTGGGAGTTCTAGATCAAAGGCAAGTCTTCGGACAGCTGGCCTGGCTGAGTGATCGCTGGGTGGTTCATTGTAGTCCCCGGTTTATTTTTTATTTCAGTGTTGACCAGGCAGTGCAGCTTTGTCTCAGAATTTGATGAGGTTTTACATGTCTACAGTGTGAGTCACTAAAATATTCTCTTCAGAAAGGTGGAACAGGTTTTTGTCAGTCAAGAACCAGGTCTCTTCACTCCCTGAAACAAGCTTTTCCTTTAGTTGATGTTAAGTAACTGAGTTATCCCATATTCTGTGTAGTAAATAGGACCATTGTGTATGTTTCAGGCTTTAGGGAACACTTGGAAAGAGACCTCTTCAGGAGTTTGCCAAATGTAGTAACATTTTCACATGACTCACAATTTATATAACTTACACATCGTGTCTCTTTAAAAAATGAATAGCCACTGGACATGGAGGCGCACGCCTGTAACCCCAGCACTCTGGAGGCTGAGGCAGGAGGATCACTGTGAGTTCAAGGCCTGAACTGCACAATGAAATCCTGTGTCAAAAAGACAAAAAAAAGTTCTTTTTAATATATATGTTTATATGTTTTTATTAATGCGTGTTAGTTTTACAAGATATGAAATTTGGTTCTGGTAGTTTCATGCATGCATATAGCAGATTTGATCTTATCCATGACTCATTACCCTTTTTATCCCCTTTGCCTATCTCCCTCCACCTTCCCTTGCTGTTTGTCTAATCGTCTACTTTTTTTAAGTAACCACATTTTAAAGCCTAAGTGGATCTAACTTTTTAAAGCAATTATTTCTCTCTTTAGAAAAGTTGAAAAATTTAATCAGTGAATGGAAAAAGGTATATACAAATACAAAGTTACCAGGTAATCAGATGTTGGCTGATTTGTACAATTAAGTCAATCTGAGGCTTTGAAAATTATGATTTAGAAATGAGACTCGGTATTTTTTGTTACAAGTGCCAACTAAGGAAAGAGTAAACTGGGACGGTGGTTGCCTGAGATGCTGCCTCTGTGCTCTGAGATGCTTCCTCTGTGCTCTCATTCAGGGAGTACAGAGGCTGTGACGGTGTTCATGGACATCGGGGTTGTCCCACCAACCCAGGAGGGGCTACTGGCCTCCAATCTGGGAGCTCTCACGTCCTGTGATGTGCTGGGCAGCCCCATGCAGGACTCCCCAGTGTGTTCCCATACAGGATGCAGTCCCTCTGGTACCGAGGCGGTTTTGGAACGCACCGTGCCTCTCTGCTGAGACGCCCGAGTGACACTGCTTTGTGAGTTGCTTTTCCTGTTCCGGCAGGGAATCTTACAGCTCCCTGCCTGGCTCAGGCTGCTTGTGCAGCTGGGAGAATGTAGTTGAGAGCACTTTGTTGCCACTGTTTGAAAACCATCAATTACAAGGCTGGTTTCAGAGATGTTTGACTTAGTAAGGACAGAGACACTGCAAACCTAAAGCTGAGACCCAGGCTTCTCCCAACAGAGCTGCACGGGCCACTCTCTGGTTAGCTGGGTCAGCACAAGCATGGAGGAGCCCGGCCCCTGTGCAGGACAGGCTGGGGCTGAAATCCTCGCCCTAGTCACGGGGGAGTCCCATGCCATCCAGAATTGATTACTCTGCTTCTCTGAGTATGCTTCCTAATCTGTAAGAGAAAAATACTACATTCTGTTTTTAGTATATCTGAAGCTGTCATCAACCCCAGGTGCCATCGTTTAGCAGCGCAATGGCACAGGCCCTCCAGGAGCTCTTGAGGACGCCGGCTGGTAGTGACTCTCTGGGGACTGACTCTGTCACCTCTGCCCCCAGCCATTTTGGGGGGCAGCATTGTGGCTCTTCAGCTTTTCCAGAGACACAAGGCCCTGTCCCCAGATGTGTCCATCCACATGTGTCTATCACAGACATTGGCTGCGTGGCTGTGGATTATGGAGGAGCAGCGCCATCTTCCTGGGTCTGTACCATGCTCCACCCAGTTGGAACCACCACCCTGCTCAACCGCAGTTTGTAAGCCCAACTCTCAGAGCTCCACTGTCCGGCTCCTGGCCTGTGCTGCCGTGCCCGCCTGCATGTGTCCGGACAGTGGCAGTCCTCGGGTGCCCACAGCCTTAGGTCATGCCTCAGACTGGGACTTTAATTCTGAGTGTCCTTCTGATGTCTCCAGTGATGACGAACTCTTGCAGTAGAGTGCCTTGCACCGCTCCATGTGTTTTTATCGTTTAGTTTGTTTGGAAACCTGAAGAATTTTCTGTGCTCTTCCCAGCAGAGCTTGGTCAGAGGGTGGCGCTTACATCAATCAGTTCAGGCTGCCTCCGGGTTCTGATTGGCCTGGCAGTTTGCCTGACCAGCGCTCTGCTCCTCTGCACTGTGCAGTAGCCGCCGGCATTGCGTGGGCCTGGAGTCTTCGTCGAGTGCTGCCATTGGAATTCGCAGCGGGATCTGCGGAGCTGCGGCCCTGGAGTTCGCGCCTGCTTGGCGCAGCCCCTGTCGGCCGAATGTGGTACTGCAGTCCCGCGGGTGAGGCACTCTGGGAGGTCAGGGAAGGAGAGGACTGCTGGCAGAAGGCAGAACATGACAGGAACCCGGGCAGGGCCCGAGCCCCTGAGGGTGTCCCGAGTAGGTGGGAGCACAACCAGGGGCAGCTGCAGTGAGGACTTCAGCGTAGCCACGCGGGACCCATTCGGGGGTGGAAATCAGTGGAAAAGCAGGATGTGGCTTGAGCGCAACTTTGAAATAGTGTAACTGTGAAAGTGGAGCAGATTCCATCAGAGTTTCATTGACTTAACGCAGTGGAATGTTAGTCTCAGTTTTTTCACCCTGGTTGTGTTTAGATCTAGGACCCCCCCCCATACACCAGCGCTCGTAGGTGGGGCTTCTGGGAGGCGATTGGGTGGCGAGGCCGTGATCCTCGTCAGTGGATTGGTCCACTGCTGTGAGAGGAGGCGTGGCCTGTCTCCCTGGTCCAGTGCTGTGAGAGGAGGTGTGGCCTGTCTCCCGCCCTCCTGCCCTCCTGCCTCCGCACCTTGAGCTGTTTCTCCACCACCGTGTCACCCTGCTTCAGAGCCACCGACTGGACTGAAATCTCTGTAGACTGAGCCAAAGTAACCCTCTGCTCCTCGGAGTCGGGTATTGTACCTGAGCCATGAGAGAGTAGCTAAGGCAGACCCTGTCAGTGAAAAAGAAGTGGGTCGGTTCTGAGAAGGAACTATTAGACGGTACCCAGCCCCACCCGACAGGTCAGAAGCTGTGGCAGGTGCCTGTTTGTCCTAAGAGTAAGAATTATCCTAAGGCTATGCACATGTTTACGTTTTGTGGAGACTGAATGATGTTTTTTAAAGTAAATGCAAGATATGAGAGAAGGGTCATCTGTGAAATTAATGACTTTTAATTCACACCTCGTTTGTCATAGCTTGCTTGGGTTTTCCTCATTTGCACTGAGTGCACATTTGAGTGGAGGGGAAGTAGGTGGTGAACAGGCTCCTTGCATTTTAACTGCTGGGACTTTCATTTCAAGGCAAGCATCTATTTAGCAAGCTTCTACTTTTTCTTTCTGGTGCTTCGGAGCGGGCAGAACTGTGATCTTGACTTGGCTCTCTATGTTGAATCGGCAGCTTCTCCTCTCCCGCAGGGCTGTAGTGGCAGAAGAGAGGAACAGCCGTGTCCTGGCTGCTGTAGCCTGCATCTGAAAACAGGGCCGCCGACCAAAAGGTGAAAGATGTCGCTTCTGGTTCTTGGCATCCTATGGCAGTTGTAACTAAAAGCTAGCAGTTGCTTCTCCCATTTCAGACCACTGTACTTACAACAACAGCCACACAAGAACCTCGCAAGATGTTAATTTCCAGAGATGTACCTAGTATGCATTTGCGTAAAGCTCTCATGTCTGTATAGAAATCCAACAGTATACAAGGCCTTTAGGAACACGCACCACATTAGATGAAAAGCCTCTAGACACTGGCTTACAGTAATTCCCCCTTATCCTCGGGGACTACTCTTCCAAAGCAGATACCTGCAGCGCTC